GGCTAAAACATGAGGAACGGTTGCTGGAATTGGGTATATCTAGTTTAATGAAGAGAAGGACGAGGGGGGACATGATAGCAGTGTTCCAATATCTCAGGGGCTGCCCCAAAGAAGAGGGAGTCAAGCTATTCTCCAAGGCGCCTGAAGGCAGGACGAGAAGCAACAGATGGAAACTGATCAAGGAGAGAAGCAACCTAGAACTAAGGAGAAACTTCCTGACAGTTAGAACAATTAACCAATGGAACAACCTGCCTCCAGAAGCGGTGAATGCTCCAACACTGGAAGTTTTTAAGAAGAGACTGGACAGCCATCTGTCCGAAGTGGTGTAGGGTTTCCTGCCTGAGCAGGGGGTTGGACTCGATGACCTCCAAGGTCCCTTCCAACATTATTATTATTATTATTATTATTATTATTATTATTATTATATTGTTGTTGTTGTTGTTATTGTTATTATTATTGTGACAGCTCTCAAATATTGGAAGATGGCTATGTCACCCATAGTCCTCCTGTTAGACTAAACATATCCAATTCCTGCAACTGTTCATTCTGTTTCAGCCTCTAACCTCCTAGTCATCAATATTGCTCTTCTCAGCATTTTTTCCAGAGTCTCAACTCTTTCTTGTATTATGGTGATCAGAACTGGACATAGTATTCCAGGTGTGGTCTTACCAAGACAGTACTAATATTTCACATGATCTTGATACTGTTCCTCTGTTGATGCAATATAGGACTGCATTGGCTTTTTTGACAGCTGCAGCACACTGCTGACTCATACTTATGTGGTTAACCACTAGGACTCCTAGATCCTTGTCAGTTACTACTGTTGAGACAGGTTCCACCTATTCTATACCTGTGCAAAACCTTAGTTTTCTCACCACTGAATTGCATTTTGTTGAATAGGGACCAGTGTTCAAGTCTGAAAATCTTTCTGGATCTTGAGCCTATCTTTCAAAGTGTTGGTTAATCCTCCCAGTTTGATGTCGTCTGCGAATTTAATGAGTTCCCCTTCTACCCTCTTATCTAAATTGATTATGAAGATGTTTCCCTTTGTTATATCTTTGTTGACCTTATTCCCCTTTTACCCTTATAAAACTTAATAAAATATTTGTAAAAAAAAAAAAGATGTTGTAGAGTACTGGGGCTAAGATAGAACCACACTGCATACTTCCTTCTGCGAAGGTGTAGTTTCTATTGAGGACTGCACATTGAGTGTGGCTTGCCAACCAGTTACAAATTCATCTGATGGTGATGCCGTCTATCCACATTTTCTATCGTATCAAGAAGTAGATTGTGGTCTACTGAAATTCAAGCATACTATATCTTCAGCATTTCACCGGCCCGCTAATTTCGCCACTTTGTCAAAGAATGCAATAAGATTTATTTGGCATGCAAACATCTTAGAATGGATCTTTCCTAGTTTCTTGTATTATAAAGAAAGGGTTGGGGTGGGGGTAGAGATATGTACTTTCAGATTTGCAAGATTCTCTTAACATAACCTTACAATAAAGTCAGAGCTAGTGCTTCTGGGTATGTTGTTTTATCTGAATTACCTCACAGGTTAGACAAGGAAGGAGTGAAATTTAAGAGGTTTTTAATGAAAAGCAGGAAATAAATGTAACAACATCTTAAGTTACACTTGGAATTATAAAGGGTATGTTGTTTTTTACTTTCCCTGAAACCTTTAAGTTGTGTGTCTCACACAAGCACATACACACCCATGGTGATAACAAATACATACTCTAAGCCAGGGGTGTCAAACTCAATTTCATTGAGGGCCGCATTAGCATTGCGGTTGCCCTCAGGGGGCCGGGTGGCTGTGGCCAGGATGGGTGCGGCCTACTGGGTGGGCATGGAGTGGGTGTAGCCTACTGGGTGGGTGTGGCTAGCTCTACATCGTTCACGTCAAGGGTGCCTGTGGGGGCCTGGGCAGGAGTGGGATAGATCAGAGGGTCTCTGGCAGAAGAGGGTGGGACCGGGGCAAATGCCAAGGCATGGTCCACTGGAGGAGCCTCACTGTTCCTCTCAAGCCATGCGGGGGGGGGGGCTTATGGAGCTAAGACTGAATGCGTTTCAGCATAATGGCCACCACAAAATTGTACATTGGTTCCCGGCCGGCCTGGGCCAGGGTCAAGGCAGCAGGGGCCGTTCCCTCACTGTTTCCAGGATGGCTTCGCGGGCCACATGAAACCACTTCGCGGGCCGCATCCGGCCCCCAGGCCTTGTGTTTGACATGTCTGCTCTAAGCTCTAACGTTTATGTAGTCAAAATGGCACTTCCAATGCCAAATCACACCTTGACACAAAGGGGGAAGTGATTATTGCCCGCTGTTATGGAACTATAAAGAGAATTTTAGGAAATGAGAAAGGACAAATGTTCCTTCATCTCTCACTCAAATGAAAAGTATACATCTTGCTCTTGGGGCTGTCTAAAGTTTGGAGGAGGGTCGGGAATGGAATGCTAGGTTGAAAAAATCTTTGGCAGGCTGAGCATTTCACCTCCCAGTATTTCACTGCAAGCTCAGCGTGTAAATAAAACAATTCTTCTTTTGAAGAAATTAGTGTGTCTTGTCAGTTGAGAGAAATGGTTATTCTTATAAATAGCTTTAGGTAGGAGGTATCTAAATTCATCCTGGGACAGCAAAAGGAAGTCTTTTATAATTATCAGGAAAACCAAAAGAAGGAATCTTGACTTTTGGGTGGTTCCAGCTTCCTAAATTCGATAAGCATCTAAAGCAGTGGGAGTTTTTAATCTTAAATTTCCTATAATTTTATTTTGCTTTTGTATTTAGACTGATTAGACCAAGCCTTCCAAACTTTTCTTCTTTCAACCTGCAATAGATACAAATGCTGCCATCTTCTGGCTCAAGTAAAGTTTACAGTATCAACTATACTTGGCTTTTTAAAAGTAACCTTTTAAAATTTTTACATCATCCATTTTTTTAAAAAAAATTACAGTGGGCAGTTAATTTCTGAAAAAACTATTTTTCAGGGCCAGGACAAATATCACGTGCAGATATTTTTGTGACTGTTCAGGAACATATAAACATAAGCAATTTGTTAGCATTTTTTTTAAAAAAAAATCATTAAAAAAATTCATAGAAAAGACCAATCAAAAGAAAAAGAGAGAAAAAAGTGCATTAATCTACTTATTCGTGTTTAGAAGACATACTGCTTTCTTAGAAATTAAGCTGCTTATGAAGAACTTGTGACACTTGTGACAAGAGTTACTTGAATCCCATCCATTGCTTGTTTCTTTATTGGTTAATAAAAGTTTTCACTAGTTATATAAAAACTCACTTTTTACAACTCTGCAGTCTCTGTTCGGAGTAGAATCAGGGCAGCTGGAAGGAGCTGAGTGTTTACTGGCCGGACGCCCTTCCTGATGCCTACACGCAGCTTTACAGATATTTTCACCTTGCTTTTGTGGAAATTCCAGTTTTTAGTAAAGTTGTAGTGTTTCTGATTTGATCCTTAAAGCATCTCAAGGGATTGGGACAGCAGGAATGATGTATTTATTATATAACGTTTTCACAGGGCTGTTGGAGCAAAGCTGTCATACTGTATACCAATTAACAAAAATATCTGTAACAAAATGTCAGTTAAAAACAAGTCATAACAATGATTCCATGTGTTAACAATTGGCCTCAAATTTATTGTCCTTTCAGTTCTGTAATCATTCTATCCCAAATGCCCAAGGACTCTGCAATGCCTTAAAGCAGCTATGCCTGCCATGGAATGTGTACTTACCAAAATATTGTGGTCACACGTAGTCCTCAACTCACAACTGGGACTGGAATTTTGGTTATGAAATGATGCAGTCATTAAATGAGTCTCATTATGTGACCAGACCCAATTTTAGGACTATTTTTAATGCAGAGTTCCCAGTGGACTTTGTCGAAAGCTGACTGGGAAGGTCACAAATCACGGTCATGTGACTACAAGACTCCACACCCATTGTAAATATGAGCTGGTTGCCAAGAGCCCAAAATGCAATCGGGTGACCATGGTGTGTGTGTGAAGCGATGCTCATAACTTTGAGGACAAGTCGTCCCCTTTTCCCAGGCTGCTGTAACTTTGAACTGTCATTGAATGATCGTAAGTCAAAGACCACTTGTTCAGTTGATCAGCAAAAATGTATGAAGTTGATGGGGCAAACTCATTTCAGAAGCATCTTAAATGCAGATTTAATTTAAACAATCAACAGAGGAAGGATAATATTTTTCTGGGAGCTTGCCATTCAGGTCCATCTACAAGGAATCATCAGCAGAGGAAAAGTTATTCTGTAGATTTGTTTCCTCTAACACCTATTTATACAGATAAAGAAGAGTAAGTCATATGGTCAATCGCCTACAATGAGGAAGAGAACAGTTCACAAATAATTTTACTCTATTTGCTTTTTGTGTGACTTCAGGCTGTTTAAACTATACACAAACACCAGCGTGTAATGCTGGTGGTGGAAGAGCTCTATCAATCCTTGTTTTGCCAGTAGTGCAGCAAAACTGCCATCTATGAACATGTGGGAGAAATTATTAAAATGATTCCACTAGCAGCCCTTATATTTTTAATACCTGGCAAGAGCTGATCAAGAAAAGATCACAGAGTGCCAGAGACAAGAGAAATGAAGGCAAGTTATTTCTTTTTGTGGTAAGGGAACAAATTGATGGTGCAATAGAGCAGGGTGTGGAGTACAATCCGCATGATGAAAATTGTAAAAAAGAAAAAAGAAAAAAAGCCATAAGCAAAGCCAGTATTTGTGAAATCATCACGCAGGTTCACAATCTCTCCGCATAGTTTTGTCATAGTGTGGCAACCTATTTCACACATTGTTAATCTGCATTTTCTAATCTATTCATCATCTTTTCTGTATCAATTTGGAAAATTAAGAGGTTCCAACAAGATGCCCAACTTCTATTTTAGACCATGGACCGCTTGCAAATTGTTAAGACAGCTTAGTAAGCCTCTTAGTAAACTGTTCAAATTCCAGCACGTACCTAACTCATAGAGATAAAATGTTGCTTTATTCAGTAGCACCATCAGTGTCGGAAAGAATTAACTTGTGAAAACCTGGGGCCTGAAGTTTAAGGGTTAATTCAATCAGGATATGAAATTTGTTCTTAGAAAATAAATCAAGTTCAAGACCAAAGCATAAATAATTGTTGATTTTTCAATAGATTTCCTGAATGGAGTTCACTGGACCACAATGTGAAAACTGATTTCTTAAAACGACCACTGAAGATACCTACACATTGTGCAGAAGATCAATAGTAACAAGCAGATTGCTGCTAAGGACACTTGCTTAACGTTTTACTAGAAAAAAAAATCAAGGTAATTTTTAAACAACTTATAAAGATGGCATTAAGACCAAGTTGGGGCAAAAATGTAAGAATCTCAACCTTGGTAAAAAGAACTGAAAATATTTTGTTCATGATTTTATATCTGTTCATATACTATGAACCTCTGAGCGAAGTTAAAATATTTTAAGCTGCTTCTGTTTTTTTCATTGTTAAATATTCCACAATTCTGTTCCAAGTCCTGTTGGAGGAGGGAGGCAGTGCTGTTGTCACGCACAGTGCGATCCTATGCATGATTACTGGAAATTAAGCCACAGGTTATAGGCCCACAGCTTTCAAGTATAGGTAGGAGCAAATGGCCAATGTAGAATAATTAAAGTGAATGCAGTTCCCATTTTTTAAAACAGGGGAAAGGAAAAGACACTGAGCATTTCTTTCTTTTCTTTTCTTTCTTTTCTGATTTTGGCCTCATTAAAAGCACAAGGAGGAAGCCCAACTGACAGGCACGGTTAGTTAAGTTTCTGGTAGAAATTCCTTCCTCAGTTGAAGTTCTTGTGGCACCTTCAAAATAAAAAGGAACACAAAGATTTGTAAGAGAGGTTGTTTTAGAAATTGTCCAATCCAAGTATGGGCGCAAGGGTCCAAACATTTATTTTATGAACCAGTGTCAGAAATGGAAAAAAATAATTATGATGTTAAGATGTAGGCTCAAGATTAAATGACCAATTAATTCCTACAAAATCTTTTAACATTTTGTTATGTTAGTTTAAGATTCACATATATATAATAGTAATACAATATAAGAATAATTTTATTTAAGTTTGATGGTAATATTCTACTTCACAACTCCAAATTGTACTCTCCTACTACAGGTAGTCCTCAACTTACGACTATGGTTGAAACCAGAATTCTAAGTTGTGCAGGCCATTAAGCTAATCATCACACGATCAACCAGATTTTCTGACATTTTTTGTGATGGTCATTAAGTGAATCACCATGGTTGTTAAGCAAATGTCATGGCCGTTAAACAAACCCATTGTCCACAATGGGCTTTTCCCCCCCCCTGGAAACTGGCAAAAAAGCCATAAATCACGGTCATATGACCATAGGACACTGCAAATGGCTGTAAATGTGAGCTGGGCATCAAAAATGGATCATTTGCCCACTGGGGGTGGGCACAGTTGTTGGAACTTTGAATTCTGGTCATAAGTATCTTTTTGGGGTGTATGTGTCATAATGTCAAACATTTGCTTAAGCAACTGCTCGTACATTAAGGAGTACCTGTATGAGAAATATTTCAGATTTACAAGGGAAAACCTTCTTTGGAACATGGCACCTGTTGGCAACTCATTAAACTAAATACAATAGTGGCCAAAATTGTGGAAACCTTTTGGGAAAAGTATTTTTGAAGTTTGATGGCTAATAACACTACTTTCTTTTTGGAGTAGTACCATAAAATTATATATCAATGGAAAGATAATTTAATCAAGAATGTAATGCAAGAAAGTTTGTTCAATTACCTGTACTGTAATCTATGAAAAGTTATAGCCAAATAACCAGAAAAAGGAAGCACAACTTGCTTAGGTTGATATCACGTAGCTTTCCTTCATCTGATTGTAGCCAATGAGTATGAGTGTTTAGAGAGCCAATCAGGTGTCATCTTGTTTTGGCAATGAGCCAATCAGATCACAGTAGGATTCAGTTATTGATGTCATGTATTGAAGCTGAGAGGAGGACATTTGTCAGTGTGTTATGTGATCGCTATCAAGTTGGTTGGGGTTTTTTTTTGTGTTCTTTCATTTAGTGAGCTTGTAAAACATAATAAAATTAAAGTAATGGTGCAAAGAGTTGACTGGTTGCCCAGAAAGGGATGTAAAATAGTATTATTAAGTGAACAAGGCTACAGTTATAAAGAAATTAGAACAAAAATTGGTGGAAACTTAACCAAAGGTGGCATTTCTACTGTACACTTTTCCCAAAACATTTCCACAATTTTGGCCACTACTGTACATGAAGCCCACGATGGAAGAGTGATCATTAGAAAAGATTCATTTCGCTGAACTAACTACAATTACTCTGTATGTTCTCCTCTATCCTTGATTACCCAGCCACTGGTGCAAACTAAAATTCTGGGGTCTTTTGAAAATCTATTATTCTGAGATGCACTCAAATAACTGATCGCTAAACACGTGCTTCAGCACCTTTTCCATGAACCTGAGCAGCTGCTAGAAAAATATAAAGAACACAGCACATTTTCAAAACTGACAATATTATATACAAACACACACATACTCAAACTCGGAATTAAAAGTGTCTCACAATATCATGTGTCTTAGTAACTTTCTTTACAAAACATCTTAACTTGGACTTAGGAACACCCAACATAGCATGATAGGTGTATTTACATCCCTGATGAAGCAAATCCATATATCCAACCTTGTTTTAGCACATAAATGAAGCTTCTCAAAATCATTCTTCAGAACTCAGCAGTTTAAAAAAGTACAGAAACCCAGTCTGCCAAAAACTTTACATCAGAAAAGTAATGTAAAATAACTTGAAATATATTAATTCCTTTAGACTGTTCTAATATTGTACATAAGAAGGTACAGCACAATGCAGGGCACCCTTGAAGAAAAGCTTGTGAACAAGCTCTTCTTCATGGCTACCACTGACTAAGGAAATAGAACATTTTGCAACATAAATGCTAGCAGAAAGACACAATAAGCCAGTTTTATAAGACAAAGCATAATCAAATCTGTCATGTTTAATGGTAAATTGTTTATGGAGATTCTTCCAGGCCATGGTTATCCCAAAGGTGCTTTTTCAAGAGGCAACTGGACTTTCTTAATCTAGTTGCCTATTAGTGGTAAATTATACTTTCAAGAAGAGGCATTTTAAGATAAAATAATTGAAGAGAACATTAGGAAAGATATAATTTAAATATCACTCTTTTCCATTTAAGTCCACATACTTAAGATTTAAATCAGTCCATGTTGATGTTATTGCTGTAGCTCAAGGAGTCGATATGCTTTATAAAAACAATTCCTGTACCACACACTAGAGCAGGGATGTCAAACTCGCCGCGTCACGTGATGTGTCACGACATATCATGACTTTTTCCCCCTTGCTGGAGCTGGGGTGGGCGCGCCTTCCGTGTGACGTATCCAGCCGGCAGTTTGACACCCCTGCACCTGAATGAATAAGAAGGTTTCATATCAAAAAAGGCCAATAAGGTATCTCCTTAGAGAAAGGTTTCTTCTACCTTATGACTCACTAATTGAGCATCATTTGATCCATCCACCTTATTTTATTTGATCAGAGCATGGGTTCTAGACTCCTGATGAAATTTTCAAGAGAAGATAATCACACATAAGAAAAAATGCTCTTTAAGATAGTCTGGTTCCATCCCATTAAAACCCCTTTACCTTGGGCCAAGAAGCACAACGAACAAAGCATTGGTAGCCCAAATTAATAACCTGCCAAACCACCTGTAGTTTCAGAACTACAGATGCGATGACATTTCTTAATGCCTGTAATAAATTAATAAGCATGATTGTTAAATACTAACTTTCTTGATGATCACCTACTCCAACAACAGCACAGCAACTTGCTTCTGGCTCAAGTTGTATACCTAAAAGTGTCACTGTAAATAAGCTATTTTCTAAAATCAAATAATGGGATTTACACCTGCAAACAAGTAAAGCTGATGCTTTTAACCAAGCCAAAACTTAGTACCACAGTTAGCTTTTGAAAAATAGCCATCAACGTAATACCTGATGTCTCCATTAGCATATTATGCATAAAACAAACAAAGATTTCTTGCAAAGCCTGGTAAGAATTATGAGTAGTTCACATCTCCTGAATAAAAAGCACTGCATTCATTGTGGATTTCATAATATATTACTCTTAAAAAAAGAAAAGAGCTTTACTTAGCTGACATTACATAAATACAGGTGGTCCTCAACTTACGACAGCAATTGAGACTTGAATTTCCATCGCTAAATGATATGTTCATAAAGTGCAACCGCACTGCTTAGTGACAGCAATCCCTGCAGTCCCGTTTGCTGTCACTAACTGAATCCCACAGTTCTTAGGTGGGGCAACTTCCAGCTGGTTTCTCAGAACAAGTCAATGGGGAAGCCAGCAGGAGGTCTCAGGCTGGCAGACAGGTAAGGGGCGGCTGCTGGGTGGAGACAGAGCGAGGTGTGGGGAAAGGTTGGGGGCGGGGCGGGCAATGCTTGAGAGGATGCAAGGAGATTCAGAAGACGCGTGGTACGGGCCAGGGAAAGTACACGAGGATGAGAGGAGCAGCGCGAGAGGTGGGACATGGGTCGAGAAGGATGGGGTGAGAGACAGGGGATGGATCATAAAGGGTGTGCGAGAGGCGGATCATGAAGTGTGTGTGAGAAACATGGTGTGAGGGGGTCAGGAAGGATAGGCACAGGTCAGAGAGGCGCAGCAATGGTTGGGGAATAGTCCCCTGAGCACGAGCACAGAGCGTCCACGGAGGTTGCTCAGGCGAGGGTGACTTACTCCAGCGATTTGCAACCTTCCCTGTTGGCTTCCCCACTGACTTTCCGAGGTAGCCAGCAGAGAAGGTTGTAAGTAGCAAATCACGAGGACCCAGGGCATTGCAACCGTGTGAAACAGTTGCATAGCGCCCAGTCAGCGAGGATGACCATAGGGATGCTGGGAGGGCTGGAATGACCATAATCGCCATTCGTTCAGTGCTGCTGTAACTTCAAAGAGTCACTGAATGAATGGTCGCAGTTTGAGGATTGCCTATAGGCAATAGTCTAGTGCAGGGGTAGGCGACCTTGGCTCTTTTATGACTCGTGGACTTCAACTCCCAGAATTCCTGAGCCAGCATGGCTGGCTCAGGAATTCTGGGAGTTGAAGTCCACGAGTCATAAAAGAGCCAAGGTCGCCTACCCCTGGTCTAGTGAAACCAGGAGTATATTGCTCTGCATGAGTCACAGGGGTCACACACATAAACACAAAGAATGGTTACCTGCTAGAATCATAATGACTTCCATAAGATTTAACTGTAAAAATGAAAAACGCTTTTTTTATAATCAGAAAGAATATGCATTTAGTCTAGTATATTACATTAGTTACAGTTCAGCACTCCGACACAAACCTTTCAATGTTTATGAGCTACTGTCTATGATCTAGAAACAGCACAATCAGATTCTTGCCATAAGCAATAGATTAGGCTTGGATCTGCTCTTCCTAAAAGCCCAACGCATGCAAAGGTGATTTCAAACTATTAGCACAGACAGAATGGTGCAGTCAGAGCTTCTGCATGCCAAATATGCACTTCCTTGCGGCCTACACAGCGAAACTCTGGACTGATTTGAACAAAATACCAGGCATGCAAATACCTGCCTAACTTCAGGAAGAATTCTCTGTAATCCTACATCTAATCTGATAGATACATATCAGTCTTGACAAAACCATCTATGGCTCTGTTGGGAGACATTTATGTTATGTGAACTGGAAGATAACGTTTCAGCCGTAGGTAGAGGGTCATTACAGGGGATGCTAAGAGATCAGGAATCCTTGTAAGATACCAAGCAGCATGAAAATGTGTGGTTTAAATGTCTTTCAGACTCAGTTCTAGCATCCTCTGTTAAAACAGTGTTAGCTAATACCAGTGATGGCGAACCTTTTAGAGACCGAGTGCCCAAACTGCAACCCAAAACCCACTTATTTATCGCCGGGTGCCAGGTGGGTGTGGCCCACTGGGTGGGCATGGCTGTGGTGGCCATGGCAGACTGGGTGGGTGTGGCCAAGGTGGGCGTGGTCACCTCGATGTTGCTTGTGGGGAGGGACGCCTGTGGGGGCCGGGCAGGGGGAGATCCAGGGGGTCTCTGGCAGGTGGGGCGGTGGGCAGGAGGCTCGTCCTGCAGGGTGAGGCAAGGCGAGGCAGGGCGGGGGTGCCATTGTCGCAGGGCAAGGCGAGGCAGGGGCCGGGGCGGCTGCTGCCTGACACCATCGGCCCCCCCACACAAGGCAGCGAGTGCATGGGGGCCGACGGTGTTCATCAGCAGCGCACTCTGGGGCTCCGCAGCCCGCTGCCAGCAGTTCAGAGAAGCCACCTCTGAGCTGGATGGCTTGCCAACAGCTGAGGCGGCAATGCAGTGGGTCGTGCCTGGGAAAAGGAGAGCATGCGAGGCCAGGAGGGATGGGAGGGGGGAGAGGGAAACCAGCCATGCTGGGATGCATCCGGCCACATGGGACCTCAGCGAGTTAGCGGGCGGCTGGTTGAAGAGGGGTGGTTGCCATCTCCGGGGCATGGCACGTGTGTCCATAGAGAGGGCTCTGAGTGCCACCTGTGGCACGCGTGCCATAGGTTCGCCACCACTGGCTAATACTGTTCTCATCAGACCCTTTCTAATCTCAAGAGAGTCACAAATAGGATACAGTATTGGGATAAACTGTCTGAAGCTGCACAAATTAACTTTTTAAGTTAATATTGGCCAACCAGGAACAACAGGCATGCACTCTTTATGTAGTAGCACACAATATATAGATAAGCATAGATTTCTCATTTACAGTGAAGTTACTGATCTCCCTCTTTAGCTAAGAAGCAGATACTTATGTATAAAATAAAGGAGATCTCTGCTAAAATAATTAGTAAGAGCAATTGCATCCGCCTCAATTTCATTGCCAAACTCCAGATTTTAAGCATTTGACCATTACTCTATTAACATGAAAAACATTTTAATTCAAATCAATTTTATTTAAATAGTAGCAAATATTACAACATATGAACTTACAGAGATTGAATTGACAGAAATATCATAATGTACAAGTTCTACAGTCACGTTTTGCTCCCATTTTTTATAAATAGCTATAGCATCAACCTTGAAAGAACAGTCCTTTGGCAGTCACACAGAAGATTCCGAAATGAAAATAAACCTCAACTGGAATAATATTATAAAAGTCTTCAAACCATTTCTATTTGGTTGTATTCTGATTTTATTCCCATACTTGATAGCGTTGGAGTTGGCATAAAAATGCTGAGAACAGTTATTCTACCTGGGATATATCGGGGGAAACACCCTGTATCTACAGGGCAGAGATTGGCTTACAGAAATAATCATACACATATGAGTCACAGAAAGTATTCTTCAATTTAAAACACTGGTCCTTCCTTTTTTGTTGATACCACAAGCACGGACACAGTGCAGTGTTAACATTTGTTCTGTTCACTCACTCCCTTGTAATACAAACCCATGGAAATGGAAGGCAGAGTTCCAAGATTTAAAGTTTCACAAAGATATATGGTATCATATAGTGCTTCTGCATGATACAGAGCCTCGAGGCCAATAATTACCCTTTAAGGCATTGCTTAACATTTTCAAGTTATGGTTGCATGCTGGAATTGCTCTCATCTCAACTATATAGGCTTGGACTTGCTTGGGATTTTTAACCACAATTTATTGTTCACTTACATAGGTAGAAAAATAATACATATAGGATAAAAATAAGAACACATTATTTTGTTCTAAGTGGCCAGGAGTTTAATATTAAATTTACATTTCTATTATAAAAAGAAAAATCATTGCCTTGAGTTTTTATTGAAATAGAAAGGTGGCCTATAAATATACAGATAAAATACACAAAAGGTCTTCAGTCACAACTGTCTTCCTTGATCCCAGTTAGGCTTTTTTTTTTTTTACTTCTATCAAGAAGGAAAAAAAAAGGGGGGGGGGGTTCTCAGATTTTCTGCAGTTTTCATAATATATTTTTTTAACCTGACAAGTACTTTTCAAAGATGCAACTATTGTCTCTTGATCCAATGCAAAAAGTTTGCCTCTACTAAGAAAAAGGACACACCTTCATGCACACGTCAGGCATTCCTTGCAAGGTAATTTTCCAGCCAACCAAATGTGCTTTGATGTTAGTTACAGAATCTCCTGCTACAAATTAACAGGCAACTCCAAGGAGACCAAAGAAGAGCAGGTGGCAGGAAAGCAACATAGAATTATGGACAGATTATACTCACTACTTTTTATTTCTAGGTTTTAGTTCTTCAGCAGCACTGCGCAGAAAAATATAGTTTTTCTTTTGGGGATTATAGAATTCATGCCCCTGGGGAAAAAAAAAAAGGTTGAGCACAACGTTACATATAAATCTGAATAATGGCATTATAAAGTAGGCGCACAATATTTGTGATATTCAATTAGGTTTTTCTGCAAAATTACTGAGCAATCATTAATGATATAGAAACCTCTATCCGGAGTAAAGACCAGTTGTTCCTTGACTTAAAACTTTATGTAGAAAATATATATCTGAAAAGCAGTTCTCCATTTAAATATCTATGCAAGGGCATTAAGAAATATTCTATGTGCAAGATAAGTTAAATTCAGGCTGTGAGCTAAAAAGCAAAATCAGTGGGAATAAAACAATTGCTGAGCGACAGAAATTCCAGTCCCAATTGCTGTTGTAATCCGAGGACTATCTGGGGTTCTATCATCAACGGAGTGAAAGGGAAAGGAGAAATTATATATATTTGTAGCATCCCCATATAATAAGAAAGATCTATTCATATTATAGATAATGTAGTAATTTTTCCAATAACCCTTCGTTATTCATCATCAGAATATGTAACATAACTGTAACAGATCTATAGCAGGTTCGGTACTTCTTACCTGTGCCACTTCAGTTAAAATTCGCTATGAAAACTTAATACTGATTTTCTACTTGGTACCAAGTCTTGTACCGACTTAAGATGGAGTTCAGTGGCATCAAAATGTTGAGGTGAAACCTGATGAGAATTCTTATCTGAATGATATATTATGTTTAATGCCTATCATTAGCAGACATCTGAAAAAGATGCTTTTCCTTACAATAAATGAGGCTGATATTCTGGAAGATTTCAAATTTGCGGACACAGTAACAACTCACAATATTCTGTTCACATTAGCAATTATACAGGGAGACCTCGCTTAACAACCACTGTTCAAGTGACTGTTCAAAGTCAGGACAGCACTGAGCAATAATTATTTATGACTGGTTCTTGAAGTTATGATCACTGCAATGCCCCTGTGGTCATGTGATCAAACCTCAGGTGCTTGGCACCATCTCCACTTATGACTTCAGGGGGGCTTCAACTCTCCTCACCCAACTATCTCCCCCTCTTTTCTGGTTGCCTTGCATTCCCCTGGCCCCAGCTCAGCTCTATCATTATCTTCCTCCTACTGCTGATCAGGTCTGTGTGGCGTGGCCCTTCTTGAGGCAGCTGCTGGCCATATGTGGCTTCCCAAGGACAGAAGCGGAAGCGAGGGCGGTAGGCCAAGAGAAGCGTAAGATCCTGGTCTAACAACCAGAACTAGGACTACCAAAACTGCTGTCGCTAAGTAGTATGGTCACATTTCACCTTAACAACCGCATCGCTTAGCAACGAAATCCTGGTTCCAATTAGGGTGGTTAAGTGAGGACTACCTGTATTCCAAAACTGTATGTTTTCCAACTGCTAAGCACGTTATTAGAGAGATTTCATTGGAAGCGCATCCCAATTGTTAGCAACAGCAATGGAGATGTTTACTAGATATTTCAGCGCACTGGAGATGCTGAATTTTCCTAACAACTGCTACTGAAAGGAGTTGTCTTAAACAAACTCAGTTACCTTTGACCAGTCATAACTAGAAGCATATGAAAATATGTTGCCGTTATGGTTGAAGGAGCAAGCGGATATTGGCTGGTCTAGCTGCTCGGATGTTTTTAGCTTTGTCCGCGCATCTTTATCCCAGAAACTGAATCTGCCATCAGACCCTACAGTTGCAAGAGTGCCGTGGGCAGGATGGAAGGCAATCCCGTTTACCTGTTAAGTAAAAATTAAAATATAATTTGAATGTTCTCATACTTTCAGTCATGAAGATTGAAGTTCTACCTTATCAAACTTATAATTTAAAAAGTATGGGAAAAATGGAACAGGAAAAAATACAATAGTAACTACTTCCACAGCCAGATGACTTGTATCCTAAGGTATAGAACGAAGTGTATAGTTTGTAGAACAAAAAAGAAATAGCTCCACTTTACTCTGCAACAATCAGATCTGGATCCAGTTCTGAACACTATCTTAAGAAGGGTTCATCACAGCAATTGGAAGTTAAAGGAAATAAGCATGATCTGGAAACCTAAGAGAGACAGAAGGACCTAGAACTCTTTAACGTTGGGGCAAGACGACTAAGGGGCATATGGTAGCACTCTTCAAATATTTGAGATGATGTATCACAAAAGAAAATCAAGACCTGTTGACCTGATATCTAGCATTTCGAAATGCCAGCAAATAATGGATTCGATATCTAGAAAAGCGAAGTCCAAGTGAAGGTTAGAAAAAAACATCTTCCTAACTGTAAAAGCAGTTTGACAGAGGCTGCGATTATCTCCCAATATAGAGGCCTCCCCTTGCTGGAAATGTTCAAATGGAATGTAAACAATTATCGGTCAGAGATACTTTAGGTTAGATTCCCATACTGACATGACTGGATTCAGAGTCTTCAATAACACCTTTGAATATTAAAACAGCCAGTATCCTTCACAATTGGCTTGGTAACCTGAGTTTAAATTTAGCAATATCTATTAGGCTGCCAATTGCAAACTCTGTTTTAGACAACGAGGGACAGTACTGCTTTCCCATATGGGATAGTGATTAAAGCATTCACTTTCATTACTTTTCTCACCATCATATGTTATTCTCACAAAACAAATGATTGCCATTAATTTATAAGGGAAAGAGTGAAAAGTACCCTTAGGAGCCTTTGGTCAAGTAATGCAAGTATTTGAAGTAGGAAGGGCTGTTTTTTCCATTTCCTCAAACTAAAGCGTAATTGCTTTACCTGTAGAGTATAATCAGAACCAAGCCAAACTGTAGCTTCTCTTTCTTTTGTATTAGCTAAATTCTGAATCCCACTTATCAAATAGTAAGAGTAGGTTTCCACTCAGATGTGTTGTATTAAACGAAAATATACCGAGTTGAAAACAGAGCAATTATTTTTGCAATTTAGTATAAATATCCATTTTTCTCCTTTAATTTGTCCTTGAGGAAACTTACTGCACAATGCACAAAATACTTACTGCATAGATATCCTGAGGCGCAGATGTGTTTGTACCATTGGATCGATGGCATTTGAAGGTAAAGTTGTCTTTGGCGCTGGAAAAAAAATATGTATTCTTTCATTTCACGCTGCATGCAACACACAGGAGTTTTTCTAAAAACCTGCACTTCTTGGAATTGAAAAGTAAATAACAGACCACTTCCAGATACTTACGGATTTGGTGGGTTAATATAATGAATGGCAACTCTTCCTTCGATACTTCCAAGGGCAAAGCCTGTGGGTTTGTTCACTTTGTCTTTGAAAATAGCCACACAACGATGCTAAATAAAAGAGACTGTATTTTAATCAGGTACTTTTATTTATGGCAATTACAGTTTTCTATTTATCCCATTAGGAATAAGAAACCAATGCTGGCATTACAGGTAGCCCTTAACTTAACAATAATTTAGTGACCGTTCAAAGTTACAATGTCACTGAAAAAGTGACTTATGACTGTCTTTCAGGCTTATGACATTGCAGCATCTCCAAAGGTCATGTGATTAAAATTCAGTCGCTTGGCAACTGAGTCATGTTTATGATGGTTGCAGTGTCTGGGGGGTCCCATGATCCCCTTTTGCGACCTTCTGACAAGCAAAGTCAATGGGGAACCCAGATTCACTTAACAACCAGTTAAGTTATCAACTTAACCAGTTAAGTTATCAACTTAACAACTGCAGTGATTCACTTAACTGGGGCAAGAAAGGTCGTAAAATGGGGCAAATTTCACTTAACAAATGTCTTTCTTAGCAACAGAAATGTTTGGCTGAATTATGGTTGTAAGACAAGGACTACCTGTACAAGCGAACACAAGCCATACTGTGGAAATCAAGAAAACTTAAAAGTTACCTGATGTTTAAGTGGAGAGTCTATCCTTCTAAATTCAGAAGGCTGATTCTCTAACTGATAAACTATCAAGCCCCTTTCTGCAGTAGCCACAACGGCCATGGGATATATCTAAAACAGGAGAAATTACACGAGGGTACAGATGGGAGAATTTTCAATTCTAATTTTATATAGTCAGGTAGTAAAAAGTGCTTTATTTCACATTCACGTCTAAACAGGAAAGTATTTAATACAAAATTAATTTACATTTTTTTCCTGCATTAACCATACATCTATTTTATTATAACAAATAATACAAATATTAATTACCACGGTATAAAGAAAAGACTGATAGTCAAGTATGGCATGATTCTAACTAATCAAGGCCTGAAAGCTTCTGAAATTCGTCTTACCACATCAGCACAATAGCATCGTTCAGGCAACTGCAGCGTCATCATAGGAGTGGGGGTTCGTGTATCCCAAAACTTTAAAAAAAAAGTTAAATAAGGCCTCAATAAATTCTTTTATGTAATAGCAGAATGATCATTCATCATTTCACTTTGAAGTGCCTCCAAACCCTAATCAAAATTGATTCAGGAAATATACTATAATGAATGTGGGAGACTGAAGATACAAATGAGCAAAATGGTTGAATAAGTCATGCTTGGGCTCAGTGTTCACCTTTTAAACTGAAGGAATAAGGATAAATTTAAAAGATTGGCAAGCATTTTTTTATACTATATTAGATGTACTTAGATAAGATTCTGTCTGGGTAGAACTCTTAATATTGACTTCTCTATCATTTGAAGTACTTCAAGGATGGCCCAGTTTCAGAAAATGTACTTTTTTATCGATATTGATAATTCTATGGAGCATTCATCTGTATTTTTTATGATTTTTAAAAACTGTATTTATGTCAGGATACCAAATAAACTAGGACTATTTGCTTGGAAGCTCATCACTATTGTGTTTGTCTATTTTGTTCCATTTTTTTCTTTTGTTTGTTGCTTGTAGTTTAATTTTTAATCTGCTGCATTTTTAAAAAGCATTACTAAAATAGTGTTACAAATGTAATGAACAAAAAACAATTGCTCCTAATTGTAAGTTTGAAGCATTTCACATACATCCTTTATAATCCCCAGAGATATATTGGCACTAACTGGGGATGAATACGTTAAATGGATATTATGGAATAGAGACTTCCCTAAATAAACTGATACTTGAATCAACCATTAGATTTCACCCTCAAGTCCACTCACTTTGAAATAAGCCTCACATTTACAGGAATGAATTGCACCTTACTCTACCATGTCCTAGCAATCATTTCCCCATAATAATTATTACACAGAATTGCAGGAAACCTTTTTACACATTTTTTTTAAAAAAACCTTACAAGCTTACCTTTAATGTTTTATCCCAACTTCCAGTCATCACACAACTATAATTTGGTGCTTTAATCCAATGGACGGTCTTTACAGGAGCTTCATGCTGAAGAATATGTTTAAAAGAATTCTGGAATCACTTTCCATTCATGCAATTACAGATTTCACTTTTCTGTAAAAAAAAACATTGGCCTAGCCTTGTCTTTGCAATGGCTTTGGCAAGGCTCTTACTTTTTTTCCTGTGCTCTTCAATTTAATATAGTTACATTTTTGGTCCCATTAAAACACAAGTTTTAATTCAAACCCACTGATATCACTCCATACGCACCAAGATCATTATATTTCAGTCAGTTCATAGTTTTTAAATATTTGGAAACCACCTAACAGAGGAGGAATAATTTGAAAAGCACATATTTTATTCCAATGAATACTATATAATCAACTTTTTATCCCACTTAAGAAAAAAAAAAACCCTTCAGGACAAGACTGTGTGATCCAAGCATCATGTATAATGTCTTCCCATACAGCTCCATCACATAAAATATTTGTATTTGAACATACACTAAAATATTGATAACTTTCTTAGAAATTTAAGTGAGGCTAATTCATTTGTATACATCAGCAGTCTCCAACCTTTCTGGTTCCCAGACTGGCAGTGGCGGCGGGGATAGTAGATGGTTTCACGCATGCAACCTAATCTTGCGCATACACAAATGGAGCTTTGTGTGCTCGCCCGTTGTTTGCGCAGCCTGGTTCCCAACAGGCTACAGATTGGTACTGATCCACGGACCGGGGGTTAAGGACCCCTGGTATACATAATCAATCCATTTGAGTATTCTGCACTCTGCCAGGAAACTTTTAAGTATTGTTTTTAACAAGCTTTTCCCCCATTTTGTGGCAGAAACTTGTTGAGAGTCAATGCATCAAACTCTTTGGTGTTAAATTTGTTACAAAGAAAACAGTGCATATTTGAAAATTGTACCTGTGCAATTTGTATTGCTTGATTACTGTTAAGATCCCACATTTTGGCAGTTTTATCACAGGACCCTGTGAACACTTTACTTCCATCCTATTAAACAACAGAGAACAAAAAACTATGAATTCCAGAATGCCTACTCAGGGTGAAGACATTTTAAAAAGAAATATAGGTAGTCCTTGACTTACAACGGTTCATTTAGTGACTGTTCAAAATTACAACAACACTGAAAAAAGTGGCTTATGACAATTTTTCAGTTGCAATCTTTGTAGCATTCCCCATAATTGTGTGATCAAAATTCAGATGCTTGCCAACTGGTTCATACTTATGACCATTGCTGTGTCCCAAGGTCATGTGATCAACTTTTACCACCTTTTGACAAGCGAAGTCAATGGGAGACCCAGGTTCCTTTAACTTATTGTTACTAACTTACAAACTGCAGTGATTAACTTGGCAAATGTGGCAAGAAAAGTCGTAAAATGGGCCAAACTCACTTGATAAATATCTCAACAGACATTTTGGGCTCAATTGTGCTCATACGTCAAGGACTATCTGCAGCGTATTTTTTAATGGCTAAAGCTCTAAAATGGGGTTGCTTTTCTCACTCCAGGACAATTTCCTTCACTAAAGAAATTGCTAAGGTTTTAAACAGTGGTTTTGATCTCACTCTCCTCCTCCTTCTCTGAAAACCATTATAGACCTTTAAGTACATTTCTTCTGAAATAATGGAACGTACATCACTCCAGCAAACATCTAGTACTGGTCCTGTATGCATCTGTTGGGCTTTTGGGATAGTTTGCCCGTTATCTTGGATTTCCCAACAACGAACCTGAAATGAATGCAGACATTTGTAAATATGAATTAGATAGCACTTGAAAGATAAGTAGTTTATCCTGTCTCTTTGACGATGAAGTACATTTAGCTTCATAAAAATGCAAGAAGCTCAATTCAAGGCCTTGGAGATCAATTTATATAGGAACTGTGCCACACTTCTCTTAGTAGTTTTCCATTCCATGACAAAATGTTTCATAAATAAAAACCTGAAAAGTGTTTTTGATAAAAAAAAGATATCAGCACATAGAAGACCAAGTAGCAATAATGTTTCTCCACACTTAGATATAGTTAAAGTTTCTACTTCAGTGCATCTTCAGAAAAAATTAAAGTTAATATAAATTTGACGAAATGAAACTAATTAGTAGCTCAGTCCTGAAATTTTTACCTAACTCATTTCCATTTTAATATTATGAGAGGTTTTGTTCTGAGATTCCTTTAGAACAAACTATTAGATTGCAGCATTTCTTCGCTGTTAATACTTTGTTACAAGCTCATTTTGTCCCATAGAGGTAGCATGTGGTTACTTTAACCATTGCCTACTTATGGATAATCACATTTTGTCTGTTGGATGCAGTAATTTTCCATTCAGCAAATGCAGGGAAAGCTGAATGCATGATATGCCTCTATTTTCATTTACTTACATCATTTGCCCATGATCCTGCAATAAGGAAATTACCCGGCAACGTTGGTGGGCTGAAAGCCAAACAACCTATGCTGTCATCAGGTGGGGAAGTAACTTCAATATCCTGGAAAAAAGTTAAAAAGTTAAATTGTATTGTAAAATCATACATTTTAAATTATAAACATCCAATTAGGAAAGTCAGACTGAGAGTCACAGCTATACTTCTACAAAGGAAAAAAAAACCTTAAAAAATAAAATTGCAGTCAGCTCCAATATATATATATATATGCATTTAAATCTCATCACTGTATCAAAAATTATATGCTTCAGAGAACATACATAACCTAAAATTGATGTGTTTTGTAAGCAAAAAATAAGTATCTATTAAGTATAACACTTTATAACATTAATATACTACTCTTTCTCCCTTTCTTTCTTCTATCAAAGATCGTATGTAGCTGACAAAGTTTGCATACTTCAAAAGTGAAGTGGAAATGTGAAAAATCAGGCTCTTTTAAAGAATAGCAAAGGCTTGTGTCCTTGTGTGAGGTCCTAACAGCTACTCTATTGCAGTACTGTATTGCAGTCTCAAAATCTCATAGCAAATAATGCATAAAGCTAAACCTATAATATCTGGATTCAGCCAAAGGGATTATACACCTTCACCAATAGGCAAACTTGCCATCTTTTCAAATTAATAATTTTCAAAATATTTTATGTGAAATGATTTAGTTTTTCTCCAGGCATCCAGTGGCTTAATACCTTCATTGGGTTGTGGTTATCTGTAGCAGTGCTGCCAAACATACTGGTGCCTCCGGTTCCAAATCCTGATGTTGACCCAAACAAACTCATCTTGGTCCTGTTATAAGAATGCAAAAAAATTTCTGGATGTTATTTATTGTACAGAGTGTTCATAAATCAACATAACATATTAAATAAATAACTCTTACTTATGACATAGGTTGCTTTTATAATTGAAAAAAGTTTACACAGAAATAAATGTAAAAACATCATCCCCACATGCCTCTTTTTTCATCTGTAGTTACTCTCTCTAGACAAGTGATATCTGTCCTAGGCTTAAGGCTTTTCCAGCACATTATTATTTGGAAAGTCTTTAATCTAAAACTTTAACTAGCTTTAACTTCAGAGTTGCTTATTGTGAGACTTACATGGGCTTAAGCACTCCAGCATCTTCTAAAATGTATTTTAATCTTGGGTTGATACTTTCAACTGAAGTTTATTTAATCTGTATATACTGACCACATTACCTTTTTATTTTTAATATGGAGAGGAGCTTTCTTTACACATTTTAATATTTCTTAAAAGTACATTACATTACATTCTAGGACAGCCAATAAATAACATTTCATTGAATGAAACATGTCTTTGGACAGAATCGTATGGATCTTGTTAGATGTGAATTAGTTAGAGCCACTTTGGTGCAGGGAATCAAGTGCTGGCCTACAGCAGGTGAGTTTTAACAGATCCCACTCCCTCCACTCCGCCCCTGCCCTCCCCACCTGTCATTAGATTTTAATGTTTGGTTTTAATTTATTTATGTTCTAATGTACGTGTATAAATGCATTTTTTATGACTGTGAGCCATCAAGACAGAGTTTCCCTGAGGTAAGATGGGTGGCCAATAATATTTATTTATTTAATTTATTGAAAGAAAGAGAGAGAGAGAGAGAGAGAGAGAGAGAGAGAGAGAGAAAGAAAGAAAGAAAGAAAGAAAGAAAGAAAGAAAGAAAGAAAGAAAGAAAGAAAGAAAGAAAGAAAGAAAGAGAAAGAAAGCTCCCTTAGGCATGAAAAATTGGATGAGTTACTGGTCAGTTACTCTCAATCCAACCCACCTCACGGGGTTGTTGTTGTGGGGAAATAAGAGACAGGAATATTTGTCTGTCTGTTTCTATTTTTTTTTTTTAATCTTGGCAACTTTAACACGAGAAGACCTTGACTCCCAGAATTCCTCAACCAGCATTCTGGCTAAAGAGTTATCTTAAAGTTGCCAAATTTTGGGGGGGGGGGGGGGACAAAACAAGCAGCACGTCCGATTGCATTCAGCGGGGTCGTCCTTCTGAACTGATGCGGCTGTTGCCATCAGTTCATTCCGGTGCGGGCTCAGTATTTCTTGACAGCCGGACTCTGAGTTTCCATGGGAACCAGAATGCCCCGCTGGGTGGCCAATTTTAGCCCTCGAACTCAGAAAAGCCTCAGCGAGAGTCCCTAAAAACCCAGCCCGTTGCCTGACAGGAGGACAGCGAGGACCCAGGTCGTATTTCTCTTCTCTTCTCGCGGGGACTGCAGTTCCCATAAACTCAGGTGAGCCGGCTGGGAATTATGGGGAGAGCGGTCCAACGTACTGAGGACGGGATGCCGGCTCAGGGAAGAGCACACCCGAGCAGGAAGCGGTAGAGAGCAGGCAGATGCTCTCTTCCGATCAGACTTGGGGAAGTAAGGGAAGCTATTTTAGCTTCTTCTATCTACCGGTCGTTGATCGGCGCCCCGTCCGCCCCAACGGTCCTCAGAGAAGGACGCTGGAGCCCTGCCGACCTTAAGCCGCCTTTCCTACCTCGGAGATCTTTGTCCGGAAAGGAACCTTATCCGAAAGTTATCCGGGAGAAGGAGAGAGAGAGAGAAAAAAACCAACCCCAATACACCCACCTACCGATCCTCCACTTCCCTCAAGCCAGCACGCCGATCAGGACCGTTGGGATTGTCCGCGAGGCCTAGGCCCTTCTTCACTGCGCATGCGCCAAGTCACGGGCCGTTCTCATTCGTCAGCAGCAATTCACGGGTTAATGGCGGAGCGTGACGTATCGGCTTCGGTCTCCGGCGTTGCGGGCGCGATGCTCTCGCTGAATGTGCTGTGAAGTAGCCGCCCGAACTTGGGGTCTCGGGCTGTGCTAACCACTGGGCTTCCTGGCCATATGCGCAGGTCTCCCGGTTGGGAGAGTATCGTAAATCAGTTCGCTATGGATTTTACCAAGGGGGATGCTTAGAGACGGGGTGCTAATGATTGCCTGTATCAGTGTTTCTCAACCTTGACAATGTTAAGGCATGTGGACTTCAACTCCCAGAATTCCACAGCCAGCGTTGCTGGCTGTGGAATTCTGGGAGTTGAAGTCCACATGCCTTAACATTGTCAAGGTTGAGAAACACCGGCCTATATAAAGTGTGTTAATGGATCTTTCACTCGTGTTTTTTTTCTCTGACAGAAAATAGGAGATTTGTCTCTGAACTGCATTAGTGCGTATTGAGGAAAAGAAGTATATTTAATGCTATTTCTTGCTTGGAACCAATATTATTTTGGGTCCGAAGGTTTTCTTCAGTATTGTTAAATGTTACCCACGTGTATAATAACGGTTCCTTGCCTTTTGGAAGAAGGCTGTACTCAGAACATTTAAAGTTTTTAAACTATAAATTAGGTCCCTGTTGAACAAATGAATAGCACAAGGGGAGGGAATCCTTAACTATATATTCCATTCATGTTTGATTGTAAACTAGACAAAAAAAACATTCTTTAGCTTATTTAGTAATGTGTAAATAATGGTAACTATAAAGACTAACATTCTTACTAGGTTTATTACAATTTTGATATCAGATTTTTAAATTCAACACAAATCATGAACAAGCGCTTTTAATTAACTGGTAAACTGTGATAAAGTATTTCTAAAACAAAATGTTCTTTCATTTTCTGTATTTCTTATTTGAAACACGCAGTTATAAAATGTATGAAAACTAATATTAATATAAATAGGATATTCTTCCTATCAGAAAGGAAAAATTAAAGAGAAATACTGTTTCACATGGAAAGTATTTTACATAACTTGAAAATTTTATAAGGTCTGTCTTAAAAACCTCTGAAATAAATTGTAGTCCATTAGGAATAATTATCTATACCTTCCTTTTGTTCTTTTATATGTTCTGCATATTTTTACTTAGATTTTTTTTATTTATATTCTTTCAAAATACTCATTAAAAAACTTTAAAAGGGTGTCCTGATATTCAGATCCATCCACCGAATTGCAGCTTGTTTGGTAAATATACCCTAGAAAGATAATCTGTTGAAAATGAAGTCAAAGCCTGAATTTCAGCCTTCATTTTAGATGTTTCCATAATATCTAACTGTAAAAGAAAAGCATTGGAAATTAGCATTTCAATTAACATTGATTCAGATGCATAATTCAAAAGACAAACATTTTATGCCATGGATTCCACATTACATATATGATTGACCTTAACTATACAGACAAGCAGAGGTTATTTTGCTACACTATAGTGCCAGATGAATTGCGTGTTGTCTCTCTCTGTCCTCATTTACATCTACATCTACATCAGTGGTTCTCAACCTTTTTAATGCCGCGACCCCAACCGGTCGTAAGTCGAGGACTAAACCGGTCGTAAGTCGAGGACTAGACCAGTTGTAAGTCGAGGACTAAACTGGTCGTAAGTCGAGGACTTTCTCTGCCTGGGAGCGCCGCTCATGCGTGGTTCCGCCCCCTGTGCCGGCCAAGGCGTAGCTGGCAAGCGGCAGAGACGGAGCAGGCCGACCACCAGCTGGCCCAGCCCAAGGGAGGTAAGGCACCCGCCGGAAAAGGGGAAAAAAATGGCGGACAAAAAAAATGGCGGACAGCCTTGCTTGGCGACCCCCATGAAATGGTCGATCGACCCCAAATGGGGTCCCGACCCACAGGTTGAGAACCACTGATCTACATCTTCCGTTTACATAAATTCAGCACATTGTCAGGACAAGTCAAGCTTATACATCTCAGATATTTCCTTCAGCATGTAGGCAGCTACGAAATGGCAATGTTCTTTGCCTTTAGGGAGGCATTTAAGCCTCAATTGTGTAATATAGCACGAGACAACTTTTCTCTGCCCTCTTCTAGACTAGAGTCTATGAGGTCCTCTGGAAGCACACCTTGTTTTGCCCTCACATAGGATGGGCATCTTTAGATTTGCTGCTGATCAAGAAGACATTTTATCCAGTTCAAAGCTGTTTAGGCCAAAGCTATACAATGCAGATCTGTTTTTAAACTATTTCTTGACTCAAACATCAAAATTAAGTTTTTTTAAATTATTTAGACTGGAGAGCTAATGTTTATGTTTGAACAGCAGAGGGGAGCACCTGAGTTCTGGCGTTCTTTTAAATGCTTTTTAATACTAATAGAGACAAGTACAATCCCACAAAACAAGATTTTTTATCCTCTAGTCCAGGGGTAGGCAACCTTGGCTCTTTTATGACTCGTGGACTTCAACTCCCAGAATTCCTGAGCCAGCTATGCTGGCTCAGGAATTCTGGGAGTTGAAGTCCACGAGTCATAAAAGAGCCAAGGTTGCCTACCCCTGCTCTAGTCCATGAGGCAACACAAACATGTCAGCCTGGATTTTCTGTGTCTATATTGCCAGACTCCCACAGTTTATCAGCACGTTTTACGAGGGATCTCAGCCAAATAGTCTATTGCTGTAGTTATGCTAACATTTCACACTAGGCTGCAGCTCTGGATGTATCAAGAAGACTTTCCCGCTAAAACCAAGGGCTGCCATCATATGTGACCTGTTGACATGGATGTTGACACACTGTATAAAGGATTTGTGGGATCCCTGCATAGAATATCATATCACAAGGGAACATAACATGTGAGCATACTGGCATGCTGTGCAGAGGAGAGTGGAGTGGAACAACATACATGCCCCAGTCAAGCAGCCAATAGATGATGGGCAAATTATTGTCTAATCAGTTCATTGCTGCCAAATATAACATATCATCTAAGATCAAGGCTTTTGCCGGGAAAAGTTGAAAAAAACACTCAGAGCAACCAGTCCCTTGGCATCAGCTATGGGCTGAAGATGAGAAGAAGGCTCATCTGGAGTTATTTAATCAGTCATTCTCAAGTTAAAGAGGGGACATGTAGTTGAGCCATACATTAGAACTCTACCAACAGAATATAAATGAGTTTGCTCAAACTGTTTATAATACAAAATACAGAATTTATTATGATCTGTACGTACTTCTTTTTTCCAGGCTGACTCATGAACAATATATGGTCTTGTCTGTAAAGCAGTTAGTTTACTCTGATCTTCTTTAGTCAGTGGAATTAGTGCACTCTTGGGAACATTCAGCCTAAAAAACAGTTTGATTAATCTGTGCTTACGTTTTACAGTTAAAGATTTATTTTTATTTTTCACAAAATAATACTATAAAACTGAACTAAAAATCCAATAAGATTAATATTGTCAAATATTAATTTTAAGCTAAGGGCTTTGCACATTTTAGGGACCATGAAATGTTACTTACCAGTAGGTCATTATATAATTGGAACACTAACATACTTAATGTGTCTCACTGTCACAAGTCATTAGTTAGTGCTTGCCTGTTTATCATTCTACAGGGAAATGAATGAAGGATGATGATAATTCAGGGTGCTTCATATTTGCTCTAAGACTCTTAGAAACTAGTGCTGTTTTGCTGCATTATCCATTTTTTCTCTCATCCAGTCATTGAGATAGAGCCCCTAGCGCTGCTGAAGACCTAGATGTGATGAAATTGTACATAATACTGTTCTACAATGGGGAGTGTGTTTAAAATTTAAATCAAAGTGGGCAGAGAAAGATGTCTCGTCATATTTCCAACAGATTAAGCATGCAGCAAGGCACATTCTATGAAAATCAGATAGAGCATATCTGTATTCTTGCATGAACATAATGCCCGAATAGCAAGCTTTTGTTTTATCTAAATTGTATGGTTATTCTTTAAATAATTCCTTTTTATAGTCTGAAATATAGATATTAAATGACAGCTTGCTATTTGAGTTGCATGCTCAAGGTTTGGGCAAAAACAGACATGGGAATGAATTGATAGCAATGTTCCAATATTTGAGGGGTTCTTTCAAAGACAAGGAGGTCAAACTATTTTCCAAAGCACCAGAAGGCAAGGCAAGAAACAATGGTTGGAAACTAATGAAGGAGAGAATCAACCTGGAACTAAGAAGAAATTTCGTCACGGTGAGAGCTATCAACCAGTGATTGGTTGCCTTCAGAAGTTGTGGGTACTCCATCACTGGAGGCTTTCAAGAAGAGATTGGACAACCACTTGAAACCATCTGAAATAGTATAGGGTCTCCTGCTTGAGCAGTGGGCTGGACTAGAAGATCTTCAAGGTCCCTTTCAACTATTATTCTATGTTCTATTACTCAGTATTTCATGTTATTTGGAAGAGACTTGGAAGTTCTGGCAAAATCCCTAATAGATCAGAATATATACTGTAAGCATGGGATTTAAAATTCTTAAGTTAAATTCGTATATGTTTACTGTTTATTTCTACATTTATACAGGTAGTCCTCAATTTATGACCACAACTGAGCCCAACATTTCTGTTACTAAGCAAGACAAGTTCTTAAATGAGTTTTGCCCCATTTTATGGCCTTCCTTACCACAGTTGTTAAGTGAATCACTGCAGTTGTTAAGTTAGTAACACAGTTGTTAAGTGAATATGGCTTCCCTATTGACTTTGCTTGTCAGAAAGTCACAAAAGGTGATCACATGACTGGGACACTGCAACAGTCATAAATATGAGTCATTTGCCAAGCCTCTGAATTTTGATCATGTGACCATGGAGATGCTGCAATGGTCGTAAGTATGAAGACCGGTGCCATTGTAATTTTGAACAGTCACTAAATGAACTGTTGTAAGTTGAGGATGACCTATACTTATTAAATCATGGATTATACATAGTTCTGTGTGCCATAACTGAATGAAAAATTAAGGATAAGTCATGGTTCTAGTCATGCAATACCATTGCATGTATTATCCTGATGGTTATGTTTAAGGCACTGCAACCATGTACCTTGTAAATTTGTGCAGAGTAAACCAATATTAAGAAAATATTAAGAAAAAATGAACTTTTTTTGCTTTTTTTAAAAATTGAAAGTATGATAGTTAGAAAAACTAACCGATAAACGTCAGATGGAAGGAGGCCAAGCCATCTTACAGCTGGAACTGTGAGGCGATGGGCTTCAAACGACATAGACTGAAACATAAAATCACAATCCTTTTTCTCAATATGTCTGCTTTTAATAGATTGGAACTTAATATAAAATAAGGCTTTTAATGATTAATATCATTGTAGGCATATCTACTTTGATTGACTTATTATGTGCCATCAAGTCATTGTTGACACTTAGTAACCAAACAGGTAGATACTCTCCATGAGGGTCTGTCCCTAACCTGATCCTTCAGTTCTTCTAATTGTGCACTCACGGCTAGTGTAACTGGGTCCACCTTGCTGTTGGTTATCACTTCTTAGAATGGTCCACTCGACTTGGACATTTATTATTTTTATCCCCCAAATTGTGACAGTGCTAACTGATTAGGTAATGGGAGAAACAAGTTCTGTTTTTCAATGCATTATTTGAATCAGCTTTTCTAAAACTTCAGCAGAAGTATAAAAATTAACCCTTGTGGGTTACATCCATTTATGAATTCATGTGTTCTGTATTAGACCTAAGCAAAACAGAAAGCATGATAATTTTTTTTTAAAAAAAACACTTTATGTGGCAAAAGCAGTGAATTAGCCAAAAGGGAGACCAACAAATATTACAGTATGCAATGGAGCCTAATTCTCTTCTCCCCTGATGTGCAAAGCGAGCATTTGCAGGCTGAAGCAACATGTGGGAGTGTGTTTATTCATTTCTCTCTCTGCAAGGTTTTGATCAACTGCTTTATTTACACCAGTGGTTCTCAACCTTTTTAATGCCGCGACCCCCAACCGGTCATAAGTCGAGGACTAAACCGGTCGTAAGTCGAGGACTAAACCAGTTGTAAGTCGAGGACTACCCAACCGGTTGTAAGTCGAGGACCTTCCCTGCCCGGGAGCGCCACGCATGCGTGGTTCCGCCCCCTGCGCCGGCCGAGGCATAGCTGGCAAGCGGCAGAGACGGAGCAGGCCGACCACCAGCTGGCCCAGCTCAAGGGAGGTAAGGCACCCGCCAGAAAAGGGAAAAAAATGGCGGACAGCCTTGCTTGGCGACCCCCGTGAAATGGTCGATCGACCCCAAATGGGTTGAGAACCGCTGATTTACACCGTATGAGAGATATCTGCAAATCAAGTAAGGAAATCCAGTTAAAGGGAAGAGCTGTTGAAGAAATATCTTCCATATCAAGCCTAGGCAGGGCTTTTTTTCTCATAGAATGCCCAGAACGGAGTTCCGGCACCTTTTTTGGATGGAACCTTGTAGGGTAAGCAAGGCGGGTTGTATGACGTGTGTGAGTTCCGGCACCTTTTTTTTTTTTTTTTTTTTACAAAAAAAACATTGAGCCTAGGTGTTTTAAAATGCTTTCATAGGCATATACAATGCTGCAGCAAACATATGGTTGAGTATTCTATATTTGTGGCTCAACTTGTTACTCTTTCCAGAAGGGAAGAGGGAGTTAAACATTTTCTCAAACATTACATTGATGTGACATAGCTAACCTTGTGTTTGATTATTAAAAAAAAATGGGAAGGGGTTGGGATGGAATGACATTTACCTTGCAGACTGGGAATGAAATTAAAATTGAGCTTTACTGTAGTTGAATAACTGCTGGAAATATACCCTAAATGTTTTCTTGATTTAAATATTTATTAACAAGAAAGATGGTTCATATTGTGAGTGAACACTATATTTATTCTCTTCTCAGAATAGAGAAGATTGGATGGTGCCATGGTTAAGATGTTCGACTGGCACCAAGGACACCCAGGTCCTTCTGTCTACCCTTTGATAGACTTTAGGCCAAGGAATGTCTCAGTCTAATCTCCAACCCAGAAGCGATGAGAGGAAAATAGGAGAAAGGAATATTATGTATGTCATCTTTAGCTTCTGCAAATGAGTGTGGTATTCTGTAATCTAATAAGTAAATAATAAAATGTTCATGACACATAGGATATGTGCATTTTTTAAAGTACCATAAATCAATATGACTGTGATTTGGATAAGTTTTCCCTTATTTTAAGAGATAGGTGTTGTCATGATACAATTTTTAACCATTGTTAAAGCTTTTTTATACTTTTCCTATCTTTAGTCCATGAGCTTTTCAGTCTTAACTTTGTCTCACCCTCCATGCAAACTTGACATTCTCATTATATCTCAGCCTACTCTTTTAAAATTCTTTTGCCCTTTTTATTCTTCAAACATAACTGTTAAAGTGTGACATGCAATTCCACCTCTCTCTTCCCCCCCATGAAAGCACAGGCAGATAGTTGTCAACAAGGTACAAGTGCTCCTTGATTCCTCTCTAGGAATCTTGTGGTTCTGTAGATTAAGATATGACTTAGTCTGGATTGGAGTTTCTCCTGACTTCCATGTTACTACTGAAGATTGTTAATGCCCTGTAGGAGTCTCTCTTGCTCTGAATGAACTGCCAGTATATTTTTGACCTTTTTATCTAACTTGAAATTCTACATGCCAAAATTCTCAACATTTGAATTGATGTTCTCACTGTGTGACCAATCCCAATCTATCTTTCCTGATCATTTAAAACAGGGCTTTTCAACCTTTTCACCCATTGTACCACTTTTAGGATATGGCAACATCCGAGTACCACCAGTCGCCTAGCAAGGTGTCAAAAACTTGATGACCCAAAAAAGGAAAAAAGTGATAAAAGTACAGGTAGTCCTCGATTTACAACAGTTCGCTTAGTGACTGTTCAAAGTTACAATGGCATTGAAAAAAAGTGCCCTCCAAGCCACAGCTGAGCAAGACACCTGCCTGCCCACCTGGTGGTGCTCTTCCTCCTGTCCGAGGTTTTCATTGTTGTGAGCATTTCTGTTGAGGATTGGCAGCGGGGGTGGGGTGGGGGTGTTTGGTTTTTATTCCCCCCGTCTGCTGGGTGGTTGCAGCAGGTTTTGGTCACTTCACATGACCCCGGGACACTGTGACCGTCATAAATATGAATCAGTTGCCAAGCATCTGAATGTAAATCACCGGACCCTGGAGAGGCTGCAACATTCCAGCTGATCGGCGCTTCTTCTGGGCTCAGCAGAAGCGCCAGGAACAGCGCCGAGCTCCAGCTGGAGCCTGGTGCTGATCCTAGCGCTTCCACTGAGCCCTGACAGCCCCAAAGAAGCGCTGATCAGCTGGAAAGCGGCACTGATCCTGGCACTTCCGCTGAGCCCTGACAGCCCTGTAGCTCCAGCCGTCTCTCGCTCAGGCTTGTGCGGTGCTGCCACCAGTTCAGCTCATCCCCCTCCCCCGCTACCACTTTTCTAGGATGGTCGCGTACCACCTGCCAGGTGGCAATGTACCACAGATGGTACCCGTACCACTGGTTGAAAAGCCCTGATTTAAAAGATATATAAGATTTTTTTTCCAAACAACCTTTCAATTCCAAGCCAAAATATGAGAAACCGATAAAGTCTCTGTGTGTTTGTGGGTGGGTGCGTGTGTGTGCACGTGCTGTTACATTTCATTCACTGTGAAACAATATGACAAGTTTAATAAAAACTTACCACAGATCCATATTTGTAGATACTCATTATTTCAACACCTATACACAAACAATATTTTCCAGTTANCGACTTACAACAGTTCGCTTAGTGACTGTTCAAAGTTACAATGGCATTGAAAAAAGTGCGCTCCAAGCCACAGCTGAGCAAGATACCTGCCTGCCCACCCGGTGGCGCTCTTCCTCCTGTCCGAGGTTTTCATTGTTGTGAGCATTTCTGTTGAGGATTGGCAGCGGGGGTGGGTGGGGGGGTGTTTGGTTTTTATTCCCCCCGTCTGCTGGGTGGTTGCAGCAGGTTTTGGTCACTTCACATGACCCTGAGACACTGTGGTTGTCATAAATATGAATCAGTTGCCAAGCATCTGAATGTAAATCACAAGACCCTGGAGATGCTGCAACATTCCAGCTGATGGGGGTTCTTCTGGGCTCAGCAGAAGCGCCAGGATCAGCGCTGAGCTCCAGCTGGAGCCTGGTGCTGATCCTGGCACTTCCACTGAGCCCTGACAGTCCCGAAGAAGCACTTCACATGACCCTGTGACCCTGTGACCGTCATAAATATGAATCAGTTGCCAAGCATCTGAATGTAAATCACAAGACCCTGGAGAGGCTGCAACATTCCAGCTGATCGGCGCTTCTTCTGGGCTCAGCAGAAGCGCCAGGATCAGTGCTGCTTTCCAGCTGATCGGTGCTTCTTCAGGACTCAGCAGAAGCACCAGGAACAGCACCGAGCTCCAGCTGGAGCCTGGCGCTTCCACTGAGCCCTGACAGCCCCAAAGAAGCACCGATCAGCTGGAAAGCGGCACTGATCCTGGCACTTCCGCTGAGCCGTGACAGCCCAGTAGCTCCAGCCGTCTCTTGCTCAGGCTTGTGCGGTGCTGCCACCAGTTCAGCTCATTCCCCTCCCCTGCTACCACTTTTCTAGGATGGTTGTGTACCACCTGCCAGGTGGCAATGTACCACAGGTGGTACCCGTACCACTGGTTGAAAAGCCCTGATTTAAAAGATATATAAGATTTTTTTTCCAAAAAACCTTTCAATTCCAAGCCAAAATATGAGAAACCGATAAAGTCTCTGTGTGTTTGTGGGTGGGTGCGTGTGTGTGCACGTGCTGTTACATTTCATTCACTGTGAAACAATATGACAAGTTTAATAAAAACTTACCACAGATCCATATTTGTAGATACTCATTATTTCAACACCTATACACAAACAATATTTTCCAGTTATTTTTTACAATGTTTTAGCAATGAATTCCAAATGAACGAATTAATACCAAGTATATGCATGACACAGATGTCCCAGAGAAGACACAGAGTTTTGAAGTTCCTACTCAGTAGCAATGCCAGACAGAAATAATGAACAGATTTATCACCTTGTATTATGTGTGCATTAAGATCAAGAGTACTACATCTTACCATATTGGTAGCGGCAAGAGAGACTCTTGGACGAAAAACAGATAGGAAAAAAAGTGAAAGAAAGAGAAGAACATAGAACATAGTAGGATGCTGAAGGAAGAGAAAAAGAGTCTTGTATGAAAAAGTATTAGTAGATGGATTAATTTCCCAACAGAATGAACTGTAAATGAACTTAAAGAAGGCTGATTGAAGCAGAATGAAAAAGTACATTCCAAAATGCAACAGAACTATGTTGAATAATGGGAAGTATGGAAAAAAGTGACAGGTGAAATGATAAAGGGAAAAAGACTGGATGAAAAAAAATCAAGCAAATAGCAAGATAATTTGCAAAATCTGAGAAGTGCAGTGTACTTTTTACAAAGGGTATAGAAACTAGATTTCTGTTCTTCAGGAAATCAGTGAGAAACATATGTAATAAAACTATTATCCCTTTGTTAATTTAGAGATAGTATATGATAGTCAAAAGGCTTGAATGAGTTCCCCACAGAAAAGGTGGAATACAAATCAAATCAATAGAAAATGTTTTGCACAAGAAGCAATGGATGGAAGCTAACCAAAGAGAGAAGCAACCTAGAACTAAGGAGAAACTTCCTGACAGAACAATTAACCAGTGGAACAACCTGCCTCCAGAAGCGGTGAATGCTTCAACACTGGAAATTTTAAAGAAGAGACTGGACAGCTATTTGTCCGAAATGGTGTAGGGTTTCCTGCCTGAGCAGGGGGTTGGACTCGATGACCTTCAAGGTCCCTCCCAACTTTATTACTATTACTATTACTATTACTAAGTCCATTGCTAAGCAGAGTAAAAGGAGTATATGATGGATGTACCGCATGTGTGAGAATTAATTAAATGCTTAGCAAATAGTTCATATCTGTGTGTGACATAAGATATAGATGTGTGGTGTTTCCTTGTCTTAAAGTTACTGAATGTATAGGGAATTATTTTGGTGATTTTAGAGGCATGGTAGTGAATGTGTGCATTTTTTGTATGCAGGTACAGTATTGCCCCTCCCCCTGCCTGGTTTGTGTATAGATCAGTTTCTTACTCCTATACAAAAAGAGCTTAGCTTGGATCACAACACTATGACTGCCATTGTCTCTTACTTCTTTGGCTCTTCTGCAGGAGATAAATTGTTGCTTGAAAACCTGGATGGTTTGTAATGAATGTTAAGTAGATTATATGATCTACACAACATTCAACAAGAAGTATAGATTTGAAAATTAAAGAAACAATGAACTAGATTGTTGTGTTCGACAGAAGAAAGGAGTTTGATTACAGAAAGGAGATGCATTTGTCTATCACAGTGAAATGTTTAATAAAGGTGGCATAATAGTTGTAGAAATTTTAAGAAATCTAATGCTGATAAAAAGCTAGTGGGCAGTAAGTAGTTTGTAGCAGCGAATGAAAGTTTGTTTTTTAAAATACCCAAATGGCTTGTAAAAAAGAGTATACCGGTACTTCTGCCTATGTTGTTACAGTATATAAGAATTGAGTATGTCAGGAGAAACATAACGTAAATTGAATACAGTGGAAATAAGTACTGTATCTGTGATAGGAGGAAAGTTCATGAATGGATTAATGTTGAATGCTAAATAAAACCACTGTAACCATAAAACATAATTTGTGGAAGAGTGCAGTCAGTTTCCCCAACAATATAACCACTGTATAGATTCCACACCTAGATTACTGGATCTCTAGGCCAGATGGCAAAGACACGGAAAGGAATAGCAAATGATATATATTTATATAAATTACTTTGATCTATATTTCCTTTCTCTTCTGGCCTTCATTTTGGATTACTATTTCTTATTCTTTTTTGCATAGCATGCTTCCTTTCAAACAAAATAAATTACAGGGTCATAAAAAGGGAGTTTTAGTGTGATGAGTGTTTATGTCTGTATATAATATATACTAGTATATTAATATTTTTGAGAGACTATGGTGATCGGGGGCTGATCACTGAGAACAAAAGGTTTATTCTAAATATTTACGGCTATTTATGGATTATTTGGATTTTCCCCACCACGATCTGTTATCCCTAAAAGAAAGGGGATAGGAAGGCTGAAATCTATCCCTTGTCAGACAGAGAGAAATGGGGGGAGAAACAGAAAAAGAATTCTTCCTCTATGCTCAGACAGAAAATACCCATTACCATGTCTACATTGCTAGACATCTGGTATAAATAGGTATAGAGAATCCCCATACTTACCGTGTGGGTCAGCATCCATGAGAGCAAAAATTGGTATGTGACAAGTATCCCATAATTTTCTGACTAGTAGTCTTGTATTGATATCTGGTACACCTTTTCCCTGAAGAAATAATTAAAATATTTATAACTATGACACATTTTTCAATATATGTTTAGACACGGTTGCTTCTACTCAGCAAAATTCTTTACTACAGAATTCTAAATTCAGCTTCCAATGAGTATAATCATTTTTTTTTACAATTGTTCATATTAAATGGATGAAATATTAATACAAAGACAATAAAGTCTACACTCACAAAATTAATACTTAAAAGCTGTATAATTTTTTTTTGGGTGAAAACTGGGAATTAAAGTATAACATACAATGAAAAGATTTTTTTTAGAAAGCCCAAAAGGTATACCTGTTTTTAGATACAAATTAGGCAGGTATCATCACTTAAAAGACTTGCAAAAATAAAAAAAGTTATTTCCAGTGTCTCAAAGTACATTTGGGTAAATCCCAAGAGGATCTCATTGAGGAAGGTATTGTATAATGCTGATAGTGATGAGGTGACCACCCATCTGAAAGATTTGCCTTGGTCCCCACAGTGCTCTACTCACACTCCTGGCTAGAGATAGTATCAGTAACTCTTCCCACATAATTTATATCAACTAAAGTTCTGGATTCAGCACATTAACACACAATGAAAGCTGGAATTCTGCTCTGAGTGCACAAGCTTTCTTTACCTATAAACCTACTGGTCACTATGGATAATGGATGCAGAGACAGTCATCAGGAGGACTCTGTGCTTTTATCTCCATTCCTTCTCTAAAAATACCCAGTTTGCACATCTCTATGTAACACATACAGTATCCTTTTGATTAGCATTCTCAGGGATTTCATCACTTTCTCTCTCTCTCTCTTTGTTCTCTTTTTCTTTTCACTCTGACCATACATTTCAGGTACTTCTCTGGGCCACTCTTTTTCCATAATGTAAGCTCACACTACAAACTCTTTATCTGTAGATAAAATAACTGAGGCTTTCCTATCAGTGAATTATTTTCTAAATAAAGCTTACGGTATCTTTATTTTCTTTCATACAAGCACCAGCCTCAAGAATACCTTCAGTTACACTCCTAACTTTAGTGTTTCCCTTTCCATGCATTCTTTCCACTATATAAAGCCCTCTGCTATCCAACAATGTATTGTTGTTGGAACTAATGGAGGCCCATTGAAGCCAGAGAAATCTCTGTTAAGTAGGAAAGATATTTTGCCTTAATGACAAAGATAAATCGGCAACCCCTCCTAAGCGTGCACTTGACCCTTAGAGCAATGTGGCATTGCTGATATACTGTAGCTTAAACCACCAAGCTTCTACTTTGGCTAGACTGAGCTTTAAGTCAGCAGGTGTCAGCACACTCCCATAATCAAACTCTGATTAAGGTTTTCAGTGATTCAGATGATATATTTCTGTGTATCTAAGTTTTCAGAATATGAAAGAAGTAAAGGTGACAAGACTCTAGGGCAGACATGTCAAACACAAGGCCTGGGGGCCAGATGCGGCCCGTGAAGTTGTTTCATGCGGCCCGCGAAGCCATCCTGGAAACAGTGAGGGGATGGCCCCCGCTGCCTTGGGCCTGGCCCAGGCCGGCCGGGAGCCAATGTATAATTTTGTGGTGGCCATCTATGCCGAAACGCATTCAGTCTTAGCTCCACAAGGCCGTCTAGAAACAGCGAGGAACTAGCTCCTGCCGTGTCGGCCCCGCCCCCTGAGTGCATGCTGGGGAGGTGTCACCCTTTGTGAGGAATGAAGAAACGCACCATGCCTTGGCACTTACCCCGGTCCCACCCCCTTCTGCCAGAGACCCTCAGATCTGTCCCACTCCTGCCCAGGCCCCCACAGGCACCCTTGATGCGAACAATGTAGAGCTGGCCATGCCCACCCAGTAGGCCACACACACTCCACCCACACCCACCCAGTAGGTTGCACCCACCCTGGCCACACACCCCCCCGAGGGCAACTGCAATGCTGATGCGGCACTCAATGAAATTAAGTTTGACAACCCTGCTCTAGGGAGACATGGGTCCTGCTATTTAACCGGAACTAGCACCTTTTTAGTACTTCTGCCAAGTATGAGAAGAACTCTAAGCCTTCACTTAGAGAGTGATAGCACCACTGTGTGAAAGCTGTGAAAATATGAGATTGAAACTTGGACTTTGGGGGAATAATGGGCACCAGTTATTAGCTAATCATATGGCTGGGCTTGTGTGGTTTGACCATAAACATATGGTTCACCAAGCATATGGTTGGAAATAACACTTCCAACCTCCTGTCTTACCTCTCCTTACTTGGAAACCCAGAGTTCTTGAGATCTTCCTGATTATTGCTTCTTCCTGATTCCTTCAGACATGAAGTGCTGCTAAGTACACCATATTTGGCTTTATAATTCTACTTACATTATTCCTTATTGATGACTTTATGGTGATGACCATGTTGTCAGTTTTGGATGATATGATAATCCCACCATGTTACCCCAGGAATAGAAAAGATCACGTGATCATCATGCTGTTAGCATTGCATGCTTAATATCTGAGTTACTTCACTTAGTAGTTTCACATGACATGGAAAATAAGATGAACTCTTCCACTGACCCAAAGCACAAATGTCATGTGGTTGAACAGTAACACCCTAGCACAATTTTCTCAAAAAATAGTCTAGATATCAGTAGAACCATTTTAAATACGAGTCCTAAGCAAAGTCTTTAACAGGAGGCATAATTGATAGTATTGAAAATTGCTGAAATGTATCCAGGAGAATTAACAAGATTATGCTTGCAGATTACAGTAGCCAACCTCATTGTATAACCAATGCAGTTTCATTTCTGAAACTAGTCCTAAATACAATTGAAATGAATTTGGACAATTTATTTGAGAATATTTGGATTTGCTTAGTAAAATGTAAAATTGTACCGTAATTATTATACTTGGGGACATTTTACAGCAGAAGTTGTCATCTAACAGTCTCTGAAAAGTTGCATCTTTTTCTATAATTAGAATAAATTTTGCATCTGTAATCAAATCTGTAATGTTAAAGGATTCAAGAAAATATACTGGAATTTAATTGCACTACATAATTACTGGATATTATATAATTTTCTGTTATTATAATATAAACTATTTTAGCATCAGTCTTGCCATTTTATATGGAATCTTTAATAAATTTTATATTCAAGTTTTCATTTTATTTTTTTACTTTTTTTTAAATCTATACATTTTGCTTAAAGGATACTTCTTATTCCTTCTACATTAGATGGTACAGGTGTCTAAAAAAACAGACATCAAATTGTTTTAGAAACTTAGGAAAGACATTCTTTCAAATGAATTAGACTATAAAAAGCAAAAATAAATCTCTAAAAGTCTTTTCCAAAATAATTAACTATAGTATTTCTTCATTACTTTCTAAGTACTATGGTTTTATATATTAACACACTAATTCTAACCATCCTTTAAGAGTGGTGAATGGACCCATACATTAGAAATATTCTGTGATTTGGGAGTTTATTAAACTAAATAAAATCCTTTAGAGAAAGAAAAGCAACCCTCTCTAGTATTTTGCTAGTAAAATCCAAGAAACCATTCACAACCCAGAGGTAAGATGAAAACTACATCATGTGCAGAAAACGATTTTTCCAGGATATGCAATAATTAGGTGCAAGTTGAGAAAGTCCAGATACTTAGTTCAGTAAAATTATACCCAAGCATCAATACTTTGGTTATCGTATTAGAAACCTAATGGATATAAATAATGATTTTATCTTATTGAATATATACAGTAATGTATATATTCTGTATATAAAATATATACAGAATAAAAATTACAAGGCCTCATAATGCATTGAGCAAAACATATCTATGTATTTCAACTAGAATACAGAAATGTGCACCTTTCTTATATAAAATCAGGATATAATGAATTATACATACTGTGATACTGCAAGTACAATTTACTTTTGTACCATCCTCCTCAATATAACTAAGATTACCAGCAATGCACCCTTTGCTAGTGGAGAGCTGCAAAGAAAAAAAGTAGTAACTTCAGACAATAATTACATAGTTACCAGGATAATGTATCTATTCATTATTTATAGGCTAGATAGGGGAAAAATGTAAGTGATGTAATAGTGTTCTTAATGTAGGAAATTTTATGTTCTTATATTGGATTGGCTGAACTTAATATTGTCTTAGGCAACTACTTCCTCATGTTCATAAATAGTATGACTTATTTCCATACCAATTTGACATTTATAGAAATTTGACCACTATCCTCCAAACCTTTCCTAGACAATATTTAAGTTCTTTAATAACTGATCACTCAAAATCATCCAACTGCATTTTTTGGTTTGGCAAATGGGGAAAGTTTAGAGAAGGAGCTTTCTGGCAGTGCCAGTCTTGCTGGAGCTATAGGAGGATGATATCTCCCTTTTCCACTACAGTACTTAAACAATATGCTGAAATGTTTCTTTTTCAAGGTGGATTATAGAATGAGTGAACAATCATAGAAAGGGCAAATAAGATTTTTTTCCTCTTCTTTTGGCTATAGTCCAGGGGTAGGCAACCTTGGCTCTTTTATGACTCGTGGACTTCAACTCCCAGAATTCCTGAGCCAGCCATGCTGAGGAGAAAGGGAGAGTTTCCATGCTGAGCCATGCTGGCTCAGGAATTCTGGGAGTTGAAGTCCACGAGTCATAAAAGAGCCAAGGTTGCCTACCCCTGGGCTATACTATATAGTTTACTTCTTGAGTGTCATTAGAGAAAGGAAATGACAAAAGACCACCCCACACACACATACACAAATATATACTTTCTTCTCCCTTCTGTGATTTGCACCTGCCAACAAATCTACTCATTAGATATAGATATGATTTTTCTATTTGTATTTTGTCATGTTTCTCTGTACTTACTGTTGTGGGAAATTAATTAAAATATTATTTCATACCTTTCCTCCCCAAAATATACTAAACTTACAGATTACAGATCATGTAAGACACATTTAATACTTAACAATATGTAGAGTCCTTCTGGGTATCTTGAGCATACAGGAAATGTCATTTATAATATTGTCCACAACCCTCTGGTTACCAAAAAGTACTGTATCGGTGTAAAAGATATCTCTGTCAAAATAAAATGTAGTTTTAAAATAAAATATTTACAGTCTCAAGGGATTTCAGTGCTACTTAGAAAATAGTACTCATGAATATTTAGCAAAGGTTATCCCATAAGCATTGCCTGTGGACATCATTCCACTATTCTGTCATCTTCCTTGTTTCTTATGTTTCGTCTCTTCTAAATGGAACCCAAATAATTGAAAATTGTGGGAAAAATCCCCAAAGGGAGTGTTCAGGACTATTCTTATGCAGTTTTTCAACAATAATTTTTACAAGTTGTCAGAGTACGTTGAGCTAAGATGAGGAGGAAAATATTCAGACCACTATGCAACCAGAAAATGGGCTGATTATTTTCTCTTTCAGTCTGTTTTACCATAAGAGAGGATAGAAGCTTAGGAAGTGGCATCGAGAATGATGAATCCTGCTTTGAGATGCTTAGATAAACACTTAAATGTAATACATGTTATTTTTGATGTGTGTTAACTTACTATATTGCTCGTGACATCTCTAAAGTTTGGATCTGATTAGGGAATAAATGATTCCCTTCATTCTCTTACTACTATATCATTAAATAAACAAAATTTGATCAGCCATTTTAATTTATCTGAAACTTGAAACAGCTACTCCGGCATCCTAAAAACACAGCAGTCTTGTAGGCTAATTAGGTAATCTCAGATGTAATATATTTGGTAGAACGACTTTCAAAAATATTTCAGAATAGTGAACTAGATTTTATGTTTCAATGAATAACTTCACTGCTTCAATATTTCAAACAATATCGTGGTAGTGAAGAAGGCCACAATAGAAATGCTATCACGGAGGCTATGTTTGTACAGCAAAATAAGCTGTTATGAAATTAATTCACTTTTGCAAAATAAGCTCACAGGGTAGGAGTCATCATAGGCATCTGTTACAAGCCACAGTGTCAAAATGATAACATATGCATCATATGTCATCATACTAATGATACTAATGATATAGTTATATAATTTTTGCCATGACATCTAACACAAGTATCATATGATACTCTCTTTAGGTTTGTTTCTATGAAATTATAATTGGCAGTAGGAATAATACTGAAGAAGATTCACTACTAAGACAGTAGTTCTATAAAAGAAGTTTAAGTCCGAGGCAGAAATATAATTTGAGAAAGTTTCCCAGACTTGACCCTCACTATTTCTCAAAAAGATAAAGTGAATAAAGATAAACACAGAACTATGTAATAAATAAATGAAGAAATATGAAGTTTTTGACTCATTTGTTTGAGTTTTTCTTTTTCTTTTCTAGTTTTCGGACTTGTTTGGAGAACAGATCACATCTTAGACCAGTGGTTCTCAACCTTTTTAATGCCGCGACCCCAACCGGTCGTAAGTCGAGGACTAAACCGGTTGTAAGTCAAGGATTAAACTGGTCGTAAGTCGAGGACTACCCAACCGGTCGTAAGTCGAGGACTTTCCCTGCCCGGGAGCGCCGCACATGCGTGGTTCCGCCCCCTGCACCGGCCGAGGCGTAGCTGGCAAGCGGCAGAGACGGAACAGGCCAACCACCAGCTGGCCCAGCCCAAGGGAGGTAAGGCACCCGCCGGAAAAGGGAAAAAATGGTGGACAAAAAAAATGGCGGACAGCCTTGCTTGGCGACCCCCGTGAAATGGTCGATCGACCCCAAATGGGGTCCCGACCCACAGGTTGAGAACCACTGTCTTAGACCATATTTATGCAGAAATATTGAAACTCTTAAGCACAACTGTATATGTTTATTTTAACCTTACAAATACATCTAAACTTGATTATTACCTTTTTGTTGCATATGTATTTGTCTGAATCATCTTGTAGATTATAGATAATATTTTAAGAAACAAAGCTGAAACATAAAGCAAAACTTCATACAGTTGCCACCTGAAACATTTGCATCTTTTGTATTTTATCTTCAAGTGCTTGCATACAGTGTATTTTTCTTACTGTCAGCATTATTTACAAAGATACCACAACCTAGTCTAAATCTTATCTGACACTAAGGCTTTATGTCAACACCTCAGTTGATGAAAACCACAATAGACAATGGAGATCAATATTTATTCACTTATCTGGTGACAACCATAGCATAGAAAGATTGCAATATGAAATAAAGAGGAGTCAATGGTAAAGAGCATGGATTTATAAATGAAATGAACAAATAGAAAAATACTTATAGTGTGTGTTTGTGGAACTAAGAGAAACGGAAAGTATATAATCAATCTGAAAAAAGTGTTCTGATAATATAGAGTACAATTGTTGAATACATGCACTGTAGTGAAGATAAAGATTTGATTGAATGAAAGAACTAAAACATGTCAGAAAAATATGAACTGAGGTATAAGTTGGAAATACTGTAGAGCAGGGGTGTCAAACTGAATGGTGATAATGGAAGACGTTCTGGGGGGGGGGGGAAGAATATTCTGAATAAATGTGATCCAGAAGGGGGGGGGGAAGAACTAGGTGGCATGAAAAGAATAGGAATAGTGGGAATGATATAAAAGAGTATAGAAAGAGTGACTGGGGCAGTTAGAGATCTAGAAGCTTTGTATGGGAAAAATACATTGAAGAGAGGAACTAGAAAAAAATGTTTACAATATTAGTGTGAAAGAAAATGGATGAAAAGGAAGTTATAAATAATGTGAGAATGTTGAAGAATGCTAAGGCTTCAAGTGTAGATGGTGTAATGGAAAATATATTAAAATATGAAGATGGATTAATTTTGGTATGCATCTCTGCTTATCAAATGGAACAATGCCATAATTATACTACTATGCAGAGGGAAAACTAACAAGAATACATGCAAAATCTAGAGCTTATTATGTATATCTAGGAAGCTTTAACCCAAAGATACTTTAGCAATTCGCTTATTTCTATATTATTCTTACTAAATAGACCTACAAAGCTTTGAATTTTCTGAAGCAAGGTTGTTGTACAATTGTTGTACAATTTATCCTGAAGCAAAGAGGACAAAAGTGGACCTCAATTAAATGATCCATTCATTTGTGCATTCTTTGAATTGTAATAAAATGTTTTTGAACTAAATAGATCAATATATTGCTGAGGTTTTTTAACTTACCAAACTTTGGTGCTGATTTAGGGCTGTCACTTCTTATTTGTTGTGTGGTACAATTCGATATCATCTGCAAACCTACAGCTTCTGTAAAACTAGTTTTGAAAACCAAATCAGGAATTTAAAAGAAGAACTAACAATCTAATAATAATGATATTTTATTAATCAGGATTGATAGTATTGCATGCAAGTTAAGAATATTTTTTAATACTAAAGATTAGAAACAAAAGATAAAAATGTACAGGTAATTCTCAACTTATGATCACAGTTGAGCCTAATATTTCCAGGCCACTAGATGGCTATCAGTAGATGCAATAAGGGCAGGGAAATATTGAAGTTTCACTGTATTTACAATTTCAAGATAACCCTTAATATAGGCTTTGAAACATAAAAACCAGTCTTGTTCTTTGTCTTCCTCCAATGGAGCTCCAGATGTCTCGTTTCTGGACCGGGACGCCCTACGCACGGTCACTCATGCCCTTGTGACTTCCCGCCTGGACTACTGCAATGCTCTCTACATGGGGCTTCCCTTGAGGAGCACCCGGAGGCTCCAGTTAGTCCAAAATGCGGCCGCGCGGGCGGTGTTGGGAGGGACTCGTCACTCCCACGTTACGCCGCTTCTGCGCGAGCTGCATTGNTACTGTCAGCATTATTTACAAAGATACCACAACCTAGTCTAAATCTTATCTGACACTAAGGCTTTATGTCAACACCTCAGTTGATGAAAACCACAATAGACAATGGAGATCAATATTTATTCACTTATCTGGTGACAACCATAGCATAGAAAGATTGCAATATGAAATAAAGAGGAGTCAATGGTAAAGAGCATGGATTAATAAATGAAATGAACAAATAGAAAAATACTTATAGTGTGTGTTTGTGGAACTAAGAGAAACGGAAAGTATATAATCAATCTGAAAAAAGTGTTCTGATAATATAGAGTACAATTGTTGAATACATGCACTGTAGTGAAGATAAAGATTTGATTGAATGAAAGAACTAAAACACGTCAGAAAAATATGAACTGAGGTATAGGTTGGAAATACTGTAGAGCAGGGGTATCAAACTGAATGGTGATAATGGAAGAAGTTCTGGGGGGGGGGAAATAATATTCTGAATAAATGTGATCCAGAAGGGGGGGAAAAGAACTAAGTGGCATGAAAAGAATAGGAATACTGGGAATGATATAAAAGAGTATAGAAAGAGTGACTGGGGCAGTTGGAGATCTAGAAGCTTTGTATGGGAAAAATACATTAAAGAGAGGAACTAGAAAAAAATGTTTACAATATTAGTGTGAAAGAAAATGGATGAAAAGGAAGTTATAAATAATGTGAGAATGTTGAAGAATGCTAAGGCTTCAAGTATAGATGGTGTAATGGAAAATATATTAAAATATGAAGATGGATTAATTTTGGTATGACTTATGATTTCTTTAAAATATATGCAATAATGCATCTCTGCTTATCAAATGGAACAATGCCATAATTATATCACTATGCAGAGGGAAAGCTAACAAGAATACATGCAAAATCTAGAGGATTAGCTTATTATGTATATCTAGGAAGCTTTAACCCAAAGATACTTTAGCAATTCGCTTATTTCTATATTATTCTTACTAAATAGACCTACACAGCTTTGAATTTTCTGAAGCAAGGTTGTTGTACAATTGTTGTACAATTTATCCCGAAGCAAAGAGGACAAAAGTGGACCTCAATTAAATGATCTGATCCATTCATTTGTGCATTCTTTGAATTGTAATAAAATGTTTTTGAACTAAATAGATCAATATATTGCTGAGTTTTTTTTAACTTACCAAACTTTGGTGCTGATTTAGGGCTGTCACTTCTTATTTGTTGTGTGGTACAATTCGATATCATCTGCAAACCTACAGCTTCTGTAAAACTAGTTTTGAAAACCAAATCAGGAATTTAAAAGAAGAACTAACAATCTAATAATAATGATATTTTATTAATCAGGATTGATAGTATTGCATGCAAGTCAAGAATATTTTTTAATATTAAAGATTAGAAACAAAAGATAAAAATGTACAGGTAATTCTCAACTTATGATCACAGTTGAGCCTAATATTTCCAGGCCACTAGATGGCTATCAGTAGATGCAATAAGGGCAGGGAAATATTGAAGTTTCACTGTATTTACAATTTCAAGATAACCCTTAATATGGGCTTTGAAACATAAAAACCAGTCTTGTTCTTTGTCTTCCTCCAATGGAGCTCCAGATGTCTCATCTGGTGCTTCATCTCCCAGTGAAACTAGATGCACCCCGGGATCAACACCCAGGGAGTACACAATGGGAGTATAGGGAAATGTACAGTATAGTATAATACAGGGAGATTACACAGGGAAAGATTTCATAGGGATTGTATCCTCCAAGTCATTGCCACCACTATTCCAGGAAGTGACTAAGGCCTCAGTCAAACTGTCACCTCAGAGAAAATCCCCAAATCTCAAATTTTCTTTGGAATTCAACAGGATTCATAAATATAGGAACAAGGAAGATGACTTTGGTGAAGATATGCAGTTACTATTACCTATGCAAAAGGGGCTGAAACATTTTTAAATTCCAGAATGAAACACGTAAATATACAGTCCCATTTACTTAATGGATTGAAAACCTGATTATATTTGTTACCTATGAGCAGATTGCCTATAGACATAGACTTTGTACGGGTAAGTATAAAGAAATATGGGACTCATTTAAACATAATGAAGTGGGTTTGGCTGATACTTATATAAATCTGTTAGAAACACACACACATACAAACACAATTACCCACAGGGTTTGATTTTCTGCATTCAGATGAATAAAAATCCAGTTTCCCTGCAAGCCTTTCCTGCCTAATGAGAGAAGCAGAGTGGACAGAATAGATCTGCAATACAGTATATCTCTTTATGCTTTCTCCATTCTTGGATTATTGAAATGCCTGAGCTGTGTTTATTTATAAATAAAACCACTGCCTCGGTAACCCTAGCTTTTTTAATTTCAGAGCTCATGTATTCTCTTTTTAGTTGGACAAATGTTTTCTTTTAAATCCACAGAACATATTTCCAAAGCATTGTATAATGTAATTATACAAAATATTTGATTATGCTATTAGGAAACAGTTATTAAAGCTGCATTTTGCTGTTCAAAGTAATTACTTTTTATATCCTTAAGGTGGCAGAAGACACTACATTATAAAATCAAAATAAATCTTCTAGCCTTAGAAAACTTGTGATTTCTCAAGGTACTAAAATGGATCCAGAGCAAGTTACTCATCAATGTCTAATTTAAGTTCATATTACTTCAGTGGTTGCACAGAAAACCTTTCACTTACTTCAACTCTTTATCATTTAAATTTGATACAAATTACAGTCAAATTTCAGTTTTTATCATATTTAGAAAGAATATGATTAAGTAATGTGATTATGTAGTAGCATTATAAATAAAATTATTTTGGTTTGCTTTATTATGTATAGTACATAAACAGAAATCAGGTGAATCTAAACCCAGAAATGGCTTACAAAGAAGGATTAATAAAAGAAACACGAATTTGAAACTGGAGTTTAATTAATCTGGTCGGGAATAACATAAATAAAGTATTAAAAGTTCTTCGACTTGTATCTAAAGTTTTAAATAAGACAACAAGACAATTTAAAGGTAAGACTTAAAGTGTTTGAGTCTGATTAAATTGAGTTTATTTTGTACAATCTGTTTGGAAATCTTATAGATAATATAAATAGAGCATAATGATATACACTACTTAACATTGACTATATAAATGGTAAATACTAATGATGACCAAATTCCTTTGGTATTAATATATTCTTCCAAGCAAAACTGCAAGGTAAATGAGAAGAGGACAACAAAATAAGATATGCTTTATAACACAGGAAATTATTTTTTACTGTGTCAGACTATATTGCTGTCTATTTCAATATTCTGCTTTAGAGTTGCAGTGTTTAATCTATCATATAGCTTTGGGTTATGCTGTTGTTTCTGAAAATTTCTGAATATAAAGTTTTAATTCTGTCATCAATATGGTCCCTTCCCAATTTTAGTAGACTAAAATTGAAGAATGTGAAATTGAATAATAGCAATAATAATTTTCATATTACCAAACTAATACAGTTAAAATCAATTACAAATTAATTTCTGAATTACAAAACACAAAAATAAATGAAATGAAAACATAAACTCTTCACTAGTATTATAGATCTTGATTTCTAGTGCCCTTTCGTCTTTCATAGCAATTAAAACATTTAAAAAATAGATAATAAAGAAGACACAATTATTAATAGTTCTATATTTTTAGATCACTGTTGATGAGATTCAGTTCTGTCATAGTGACCTGCCTATACTCAGTAATCCCTATGAAAATTCTACACTATTTATAATTTCCAACATTTTTTTTATTTCCTAGGTTTTTGTTATTTCTCTTTCTCTTTTCTGTCAGCCATCTCCATTGGCTTCCATATTAAACTAACAGTTTGAATCACTATTTAATTTCCTGAATAGTGAGCACTTAATTGGCAGCTGATTTGTTTCCATGTCATTCCCTGTTACTAAGGAGTGTTGCTAGTGTTACTAATGACACTTCCATGCTTTACCCCCTCTTCTCCTGAGAACATCAATCACCTGGCTAATATAAACTCCATTCAGCTGATTGCTAGGAGTGCAAAAAACAGCATTTGATCAATGCCCACTACAAATTACACAAGGTTCTGAAGTTTTAAAAAATCTCATATCCTTACCTTACACAGATATTTTTCAACCCCCAGTTCTGTTCATAAACTGAACAGCTCCTGCTGGGAGGAGAAATTGCTAAAAGCTGTCAACATAAGCCCTGCAGTAAGGATTTGGGGTGAAGCAAAAGGGAAAAATACCTGTTCACAATTTCTGCAGAGCATCAGCATTTCAATGGAAAGGTTATTTTAGTAAGATTTTTAAATATACTTCAGGTAAACCAGAAATAAATTGAAGCCTTGTTGATCATGTGTAGGTTCAGAATTAGATTCTGGTTATAAGACTATAGAATTGCTTTAGTCTAATCTAATGCTTCAGAATATAGGTTGTTAACCAAAAGTTTTCATAATGTTATCTTTGTCATTTGCAATTTAAATCAAGGTTACTTTTAGTCAGATGTAATAACATTTAATAAATATATAAATATAGAACTAATATTTTATCTGTAATGTTTGCATATAATACATTTGCAAGCATGATTTACTTACTGTATATTTCCCCAGTCAGATCTGTTTCTTAAGATAAGAATAGGTGCTTTATTTTTGGACAAACTCATGATAACATCTTCAATAACATTTTCTATTCCTCTCAGTACCTCGGAGCTGAAAGATATTACAACATATAATTTCATACAGATTGTATATCATTTTCCAAGCTTCACAAAAAAATCATTATTGACTTCTAACTATTTTTTGTTTGAGATTTCTGAAGATTCTAGAAACATTTTATAGTGCTTTGTCTTGCTTCCAATAGTAGAAATCAGTTCATATGTTTAAGATTCAGCCTTAAGAAGTGCATTTCTAGCCAGTCCTCACAAGATTTTTTTCACCAAGCCAAATATTTGGATCAACTGATTTAAAACAACTATGATTAATGTTTTTAAATCATATGATGTAATATTAGCTTTGGCCAGAGTTTGACTTAACTTGTTTTTAAATGCTGTAAACTTAAAATAAAAGTTCAAGGGTATAATATAAGTACTTCCTCTCTACCATAGCACATTAACCTTTTGATCTGACACTTTGAATGAGTGCCTGTGGTTTTTAATTATATGAAGGTTTTGGCTGAATAACAACATTGTGTGTGTGGCAGGGGGAGATGAAATGCATCATGAGCTGAAGTAAGTACATTAGTACTGCTCTGTCTCTGCATATGTGTGTGTGTGTGTGTGTATTTTGATGGAATATAACTACTATATATATTCCTTCAAAATATAGATATAAAATGGGGGAGAGTAGGAAAATTAACTAAAAATGCAGTTTTGTTCATACACAATTCAAAGTAATCAGAATAGAATAGAATAGAATAGAATAGAATAGAATAGAATCCAAGTGTGATTGGACACATAAGGAATTTGTCTCTGGTGCATAAGCTCTCAGTGTACATACAAACAATAAAGTAATATAATTATAAGATACCAATAGTATCCCTGAACCGTCTATGAACGAAACTGCATTTTAAATTAATTTTCCTATTCCCCATTTTATGTACCTACATTTTACTGGTTTATATTATAAAGTGTAATGTAGTTTAGTCATAACTTGTTTCTATGTACAAATCATATAAATTAGATCTATACTTTCAGATCTTCCTTTAGCCTAGTGACATTGTTTTGATTTTCTTTTATTTATGCACTACACATACATATTATATCACAAGCCACTGTAAAAGACTTTCATACTATAGTTTCAGAAATAATCTTTCCCATGTGAATGAAAATGATTACGATATTTACTGCAGTTCACACACAAAAAAATCTCAAGTCTCTTTTGTCATATAGAACTAGTTCAGGGGTAGGCAACCTTGGCTCTTTTATGACTCGTGGATTTCAACTCCCAGAATTCCTGAGCCAGCCATGCATTCTGGGAATTGAAGTCCACGAGTCATAAAAGAGCCGAGGTTGCCTACCCCTGAACTAGTTGAATAGTTATTTGTTTCCTAACTAAAACTTTAACACTGGATTACATTAAGTTGAAATCCGAATATAGTACTTTCTTAGATGGGAACTCAGTGATTTAATGAATGGCAAAAAAAAAGAGTCTCAAAATTTCATGTGTTTCTTCAATATCACTTTTAAGCGCTAGTTTAAATATGATTCTACATGTTTTGTTAAGAGGACTAATATTTGTCACTTTAAAAGATTATGGAATATCTTTCTCTTACTTATTGCTCATATTTTAGACTGAAATGTTTCAGAATAAAATAAAATTGAGTTAATAGGAAATGGACAACCCTGGTATTATTGATTAGCCATTCTTTTTTACTTAGTTATTTCACTTCTTTCAGTACTTAACAGGTGTAATAATTAGTATCCATGTATATTAAACAATATTATTGTTCTTTATACATCACATCATTTAACCAGATAGATTTCTGTTTAATTTTTAGAAATGTGTAGGTAAGTAATTAGGCCCAGATGGTAGATCCAGGTTTGATATGCAGGCTTAAGATCTAAGGTGTTTGGAGCCAACAGAGTTTAAGAGCATTTTAAATGTGGGAAGAGAAAGATTTGAGTGACACATTCATTCAAAGAAATTGCACAAGTTCCTTCCTACATTTTAGCTCTCCCTGCTTAATAATGAAGTAACCCTCAGTAAAAAGTTATATGACTGGCCAAACATGCCAACTTAAAAGGAAAAAAAAACACCTCAGCAGTAATTACAGACAAATCTAAACTGTTGAATAGCAAGGAACAACAGCATATCACACAAGGATAAATTCTGTCAGCTAATTTCCAACAAGTCACAGCATGAACACTGTTTCTTTTCTTTTGGCAACAGAAATAGAAATACCCTTAAAAATTATTTCACAACAGAAAATTTAAAAGATACAGAATTAATCTCATGTAGTGTGTTTGTTTCAACAAATCAGGGTTAGGTTTTATTATTATAAATTAAATTTAGAAATACTAAAATGTTCATGGCAATGGTAGTGGATGACAAATTCCTTAAATTAGAAAACAATAGCATTTCCAATTTCATTTGGGGAATGAAAACTTTCAAATGATTTGAGTTTGTGTGTGCAAAAAGCATTCAAAGCATTAGAACTGCTTATTAATATAGGCTGAAAACTTAGCCAATCATTGTTCATTACAGATGTTACAGTGAATAATGCTGGTTACCTTCGAGACCGCCTCCTGCCACAGATTACCCCCCACCGACCTGTANGGCTGTTCCAACTAGCGGGACTGGCCTGAGGGATTTTAAAGGGGGTTTTAATTACTTTTAAATTGGACATATTTAAATATTTCGTTTTAATCAAATTTTAATTAAGTATGTATATATGTTAGTATTTTATTCAATTGTCAGCCGCCCTGAGTCCGTAAGGAGAAGGGCGGGATATAAATGCAATTAATAAAATAAATAATAAAATAAAATAAATAAATGCTAATAAAAGTAGCAAATGCAAGCTATATTTCAACTAGAAATCAATATTTCAATTGTCACATTTATTTTATTTATTAATTTTTTATGCTGCCTATCTCCCCAACAAGGTGAATCTGGGTAGCTTATTATTCATTTGTTGGTGACATCCAAAAGCAAAATTATTTGCTAGATATTGAAGATATATTTTTTTAAAAAATTAAAAAAAATGTCATTCTTCTTATTGTATATTATATATGCAGGTTTTTTCATGAAATATATTTATATTAATAGCTAGTAGGTTTAATATTGTTATTTTTACATGATTCAATAAATATTTTATGAATGTGTTAATTGTGTAAATAATGATAAATATAACAAACAAAATAAATATAACAAACAGAATATATTTTGGGATCCTCCCTAATTTTTAAAAGTGGGAAGAGATACTGAAAGCAAAAAGTTTAAGAAACATTGTACAGGTAGTATTCGACTTATGACCATAACTGAGCCCAAATTTTATGTTAAGTGAGACATTTGTTAAGTTAGCTTTGCGCCATTTTACAAGCATTCTTGCTATAGTTGTTAAGTGAATCTTGCAGTTGTTAAGTTAGTAACACGGTTATTAAGTGAAACTGCCTTCCCCATTGACTTTGCTTGTCAGAAGGTCACAAAAGGGGTTTGCATGATCCCAGGACACTGCAACTGTTATAAATAAGAACCAGTTGCCAAGCATCCCAATTTTGATCATGTGACTATGGGGATGCTGCAATGGCCATAAGTGTGAAAAATGGTCATATGTCACTTTTTTCAGTGCTGTTGTAACTTTGAATGACCATTAAACAAATTGTTGTAAGTTGAGAACTACCTGAACTAAGGTTTGGAAATAGATAAAAAGCAGGGAAAGCTTGCATATGCATGGAGCTTTTCTCCATTCTATTCCTTCAGCCTTTACTAGATATTTATAAATGAGACTGAGAATTTGCAAGGCAGCTTTCCATTTTCAAAATAAAAGTAATAATAAAGCAGCTATTACAATACAGAAACATAGAAAACTGATGACAGAAAAAGACCCAGCAGTCCATTGAGTCTCCTTTTGAGGGTTTTTTGTTTTGTTTTCTTATTTCTTATTTTTAATTTTAATTTTTTAAATGATTGACTTGTGTTTATCCCTGACTGACCCATTATCTCTGCTGAAAGTTGCTTCCAGGATTTCATAGAATAAGAGACACAGATTTTAATAGAAACAGATTTGAACTGATTTAAATATCAGCCATTTTTTAAAGTCAGCATACTTTTTAGGGAAAGTTGTTAAACTAACATTTTACACTTCCTGGACAAGAGAAAAATCTTAACTGCCTAAAAGCTGAGCTTTTTAGACCTAAAGTGTTTCAATTAAAAGCTTTAGGAGCAGCGTAATAAACATTGCTTTTGATGTTCCCAATCATGGATGTTCTTGTTTGCTACAAAAGTGTGAAAAATATTTCGGTGTGGCATGTTAGCTGATGCATTTTCACTAGACTAAACTCATTAAATTCTCTTACTTCAGAACAAGTACAGGTAATCCTTGTTTAGTCACTGTTCATAGTTAAGATAGTGATGAAAAAATAACTATATGATGAATTCTTGCGTTTACAACATTCATAGCTCTGTAAAGCAAAGGAAAATTGATGTAAGATGAAGTGCAGTTGTGGTTACACTTAGCAACCACTTAATTAGCAACCAGGTTCCGAGTCCCAATTGTGGTCAGTAAACGAGAACTATCTATATTCCTGCTATTATGTGGTAAGAGAAGTTAAAATTGGGTTCCTGCTCTACCTTTTTGAAGTAGCCTCTGAAGGATGTTAACCCCTTCTGACATGGTCTGTTACCTGGAGTGACAGACATTTGTGGGTTATTTTCAAAGGCAGCCCATGGGAAGTTACCAGCACGTGGCCAGTTTAACCATCTTTTGGCATACAGATCATCTCTGTCCTGGTTTTTAACATAACAGACTCAAATTATAATCTGGGTTGTGTTAGGGTGACATTACCTAGAGATTTCACAACTGAGGCTGGCCACATGGAGTTTTGCTGAAGTTTTTCTGAGGGCCAATGCATGTTGATCCAATAAAGTGAACAAAGACCAGTCTGTTTCTGTCGAATAAGCCATAAGGAAAAAACAGAGATTAAAAACAAAAATAGGAGAGAATAATCTGTTACACTCAACCCAGACTGAAAGTCTGGCTTTATTCTGCCCCTAATTTTCTGTCACTTTTTGGCAGTGATGGCCAGGCAGCCAATCAAATCATGGTAAAGGTGGGCCTAGTCTGCTTGCTGGGCTGCAGTATGGACACACCTGTTTGTATTCTGAGGGCTGATGAAAAAAATTGGCTACCATTAACTGTAAAAAAAGTGTTACCAGTGTGTATATATTATCTGGGTGTGGTCAGCAGGGCCTGGATTAACTGTGGCCACTGTAGATTGACTTTGGGAGTTCCTGCACTTTTTAGGGACTGATTTGGCTAGTATTTGCAAGGTCAGGATCTCTATTATCGCATACTTTCCAGAACATATGGACATTCTTTTGCTTTTGTAAAGATTTAATCTGTTTAGTCTTTTCTTCTGAAGTAATGAAAGCCATAAGGCTTGGGGTTTCTTCTTTCAGAAGTTGAAGAGACAGTTGCAGCTCTGATTTTTCCCTCAGCTTGCTTCAGAAAGATTAGTACAATGTTTCTCAACATCGCCTACTTTAAGATGGGTGGGCCTCAAGTCACAGAATTCCCCATGCCAGCATGGGGAATTCTGGGGGTTGAAGTCTACACATCTTAAAAGTTACTGAGGTTGAGAAACATTAGCTTAGAACTATAGCAAGATTAAGTGGAAATTCCACACAAGTCTCTGAAATATGAGCTATAAATGTCTATTTGAATAGGAGATCATCCTATCAACTGTACTTTTTATTTGACATAGGCATATTTATTTGTTGTTGTTTTTTAATTTGCCTTATGGACCTAAGCTACATGAACCTTCAGATTTAGCCACAACACTTGTATCCTGCCACAGAATCATCTCTATTGTGGATGAGCTATAATAATTTAAATAAATACATTAAGAAAAAAAGATATTCTCCACCCTTGCCATTCTAACTCCTCTGTTGGTTTCTGTCATAAAAGAAAAGAAAAAGTTCAGTTAATAAACAGATCAAATAAATGAATACTTTTACATTTAACACACTTTCCTCTTTAGATATAATCAATTCTGACAGGAAGTATTTATAAAAGCTCCTATAATCCTTTTTAAGAACTCATTCTCTCTCTCCCTCACTTTCTACATATACAGGTTTCCTTGATATACAAACTGATAAATATGTGTCAGGAACTTAAATAACTTTGACAAATTAAATTGCACAGCATAAGGAGATTTTTGAAGATTTCTGTTGCATCAAGTATCAATGTTAGTTACCATGACTCCAATGTGGAATATCATTTCCTGCTTTCTTGTTTTGAATAGAATAAATATAAATACAATATGTATTTAAATTATGGTTCTAGCTAAACCTGAATATATAAAGATCAAATGATAGAAAAATCTAAGTAAAATGATTGCTATTACTCAGATTATAGAAGTCAGATTAAAGATAATTAAATATATGCTGCATTCAGCTATACAGGTAGTCCTCGATTTGCAGCTATTTGTTTAGTGACCGTTTGAAGTTACAACAGTACTGAAAAAGTGACTTATGACCGGTGCTCACACTTACGACCATTCCAACATCCTCACAGTCATGTGGTCAAAATTGAGCAGTTGACAACTGGCATGAATTTACAATGGTTGAAGCATGCTGGGGTCATGTGATCATCATTTGTGACCTTCCCAGCTGACTTCCAAAAAGCAAAGTCCATGGGGAAACTGGGTTTGCCTAATGGCCAGGTGATTCACTTAACTGCAGTGATTCATTTAACAACCATAGCAAAAAAAGTTTATAAAATCAAGTGTGACTCATTTAACCTCTTTGTTTAGCAATGGAAATTCTGGTCCCAATTGTCATAAATTGAGGACTACCTGTATAATGTGCAATCCATAATTTATGTTAGATTAAAGAATATTTCAGTGTAGAAACAGTTTAATCGTTTGACTCATCTCCTAAAATGGTGGTTACTGTTTGCCAACAGAACAAACATTATTTTTATGTTTGTAACAATTTCTTAATTCTTGTGCATATTATATTTGAATTAACTAACTCAATATTTACTGCATATTTAGTCACTGGGAATTACACAGTATATAAATTTAATGAATTATTACTGTATAGTACAGAAATTATCAATTCACAACCATTAATGTTCATATGTCATTATGAACATTTTACTGAATTTATATCCATTCATTTATTAGGTAGCTATTGTCCCTTTGATAGTATCAAAAATGTTCTACAACAAAATTATAGCATGTTAGTAATATATAGCTAGCAGGTGCTTCTGGAAAATGAGATCTGTAAAGAAAATCCAATTGATAACTATGAAATAATCTTCAAGGCTATGAGAAAAGTCCTCCATTACAGTAGCATGATTTGATTGAACAAGTTAGCTGAGTATGGGAACTAAACTTATCACCTGCTGCTTACGTGGACAGATGCTGATCTTTTTTAATGAACAAAGCCTCTGGTATAGAAACAGGAGATGAAAAGTCATTCACAGCAAAGAGCATAAAACAGGCATATCCTTTCTGATTTGACATGCCTTGCTTAAAGAAGAAAATCCAATATATTTTAAGCTTACCCAACATTTGAATGAGAACCACCTGCAAGTAATTTAGTAATGGTAGCCAAGCCAGTATGATAGATTGACTTTATTTCCAGACTATTGTTCTTTATTTTGTATCTTTAAACCACTTACAAATATGACAGGACCTTTCTGTAATAAGAAGGAGCTTTATGCTTATCTCAAAAGTGCAAGATGCTTCCACAACTATGTAGCATGAAAATATATCAAGGAGATACGGTAATGTTAAAGAAACTATAGTAAAATATATATCTTCACAGGAGTTTGCAATGTTTTGTGTGAAATAATACATGTTACCCACTTTTTTGAAATTTAAAGAACAGTGCTTTTCGTTGTTCTTCCTTTTAGAATCATGAGAATAAACACTAGAGTTGCCAAAGACTCAAGCCAAGCCACACATGCAACGCACAAAGCATATTTCTTAACCTTTTCAAAATTTTAACATTTGATGACTGAAAGCTGAAAGTGTGAAATTACACAATCTAAAATAATCGGCTTAAATGCAGCAGACTACAGGTAGTCCTCGACTTACAACCACAATTGAGTCCAACATTTGTATTTGTTAAGTGAGAAATTGGTTAAGTGAGTTTTGCTCATTTTATGACTTTTCTCACATTTGTTAAGTGAATCACTGCAGTTCTTAAATTAGTAACATAGTCATTAAATGAATCTGGTTTCCCCGTTGACTTTGCTGGTCAGCAAGATGCAAAAGGGGGTCACATGACTCCAGGACACTGCAACTGTCATAAATGTCAGTCAGTTGTCAAGCATCCGAAGGTAACTCACATGACCATGGGGATGCTGCAACAGTCATAAGTGTGAAAATGGTCAAAAGTCACTTTTTTCAGTGCTGTTGTAACTTTGAACGCTCGTTAAATGAATGGTTGTAAGTTGAGGACTACCTATAGTGAGGGAAAAAAGTATTTGATCCCCTGCTGATTTTGTACGTTTGCCCACTGACAAAGAAATGATCAATCTATAATTGCAATGGTAGATTTATTTTAACAGTGAGAGACAGAATAACAACAAATAGATCCAGAAAAACGCAATTCAAAAAAGTTATAAATTGATTTGCATTTTAATGAATTTTGCCCCAGTTTATGACCTTTCTTGCTACGGTTATTAAGTGAATCAGTGCACTTGCTAAGTTAGTAACACAGTTGTTAAGTGAATCTGGCTTCCCCATTGACTTTGCTTGTCAGAAGATCGCAAAAGGTGATCACAGTCACCCCAGGATGCTGCAACGGTCATAAATATGAATCAGTTGCTGAGCATCTGAATTTTGATCACATGACCATGGAGATGCTCAATGGTGGTAAGTGTGAAAAATGGTCATAAGTCACTTTTTTCAGTGCTGTTATAATTTTGAACGGTCACAAAATGAACTGTTGCAAGTCGAGGATTACATGTAGATCCTTAACACTGTGAAGATTACAGTGGAAGACTTTTTTCCCCACAGAAAAGTCCACTTAAAAAATTTTTTAATCAAAGGATTCTGAAGTGAAATGAAAACTTTACCTGTGATGGTTTAATGATGCATTCTGATCAATAAGCAACTGCAGATAGTCCTCGATTTATGACCACAATTGAGCCTAAAATTTCTGTTGCTAAGTATAACATTTGTTAAGTGAGTTTTGCCCCATTTTAAAACCTTTCTTGCCACAGTTGTTAAGTGAATCACTTGGTTGTTAAGTTAGTAACATGGTTTTAAGTCAATCTGTCTTTCCCATTGACATTGCTTGTCAGAAGGTTACAAAAGTTGATCACATGATCCTGGGACACTGCAACCGTCATAAATATGAGTCAGTTGCCAAGCGTCTGAATTTTGATCATGTAACCATGGGGATGCTGCAACGGTCGACACTCATAAATCAGTTTTTTCAGTGCCATTGTAACTTCGAATGGGCACTAAATGAACTGTTGTAAGTCAAGGACTATCTGTATGCAGGTTGCTCAAATCATTCTGATATTCTTCATTATTTTCAAGTGTATTCATTTATTGATTGGCTTTTTCCCCCCTCAAAAGACAAAACTTGAGCTTTTAAACTTCCATTGGATAATCCTGTCAGTAATGTACAACTGCATTTTATGCTACTGTGGGAAGAAACAATAGGGCATATTATATCTGTAGATGTTGCAACAAAAGTTATTTTTGAGAATTGATCTGAAATTACCTTTCTGGCAGCATCCTAATAATATAGTTAAGAATTTTATACTTATATTTTGCTAAGCTGTAACAAGCTAACCAAATCTTAAGGAAATGGAGTTTGAAAAATGTGTGTAAAACTGAAACCTATTAGTAAACAGATTAAAAGTCCAATAATTTTGTTCTTGCATTCTGAACCATAGAGTTTGAATAACAAAAACAGTCATAAGACACTTTTTTCAG